GGAAGATTGGTGGCTTCTGGCTTTTACACAAGCATAACACATGCTAACAACATGCGCATTTCACCAGAAATGCTTCCTGCCTCTCTTCCACAATAGAAAAAAACCCCAAACCAACCAGTCATAAGCCTAAACCTCTCATTCACGTTTCAATTCCTTGTGTTATTTTTACAGAAGGTTTAATTTATCCTGAATTTTAAGTGAGGCTTAAAATGTGGTATTTTTCACCTTGTTTTGGAGGAAAAAGGTAGTTCTTGCCAACCTTTAAAATGGGTACTCCACTAGATTTATGGCCAGATAAAAGACTTCAGGATACCTGCTTGACTTCACTGAAGTTAATGGGAACTGAGAAGGAGCAAATCTTCACATGCAGCCTCCCAAAAAAGAATTTAAAATGATCAAACTGAAATGAATACTCTTGAGTCCAGAGTTTATTTGCTGATGTCTCTTGAATGACTTGGTCAACAAAATGAAAAGGGAAGTTTAGTTGTAGTTTATTCAATGGCATGGATAAATAAGCAATATTTGACTGAAGTTGAAAACAGCTGTGCTTAGGAATTTTTTCTGTCTGTCTCAGCCCACACTACTACCCAATGGGAGTACGGTTTAACAGTTTTCAGAGAGGAATGCTTGGAGAAGTAGTGGGTCTATCTTGATACTGATTCAAAAATAAATTAGCAACCTCATTTTTAGTGGCACTTTTCTATACAAGTGTAAATTTAACTTTTGTTTAAAACAATTGCTATTATAGAGTAGGAAGGTTTTGCTTCTTTTTGTCAACCTTTCTCACACTCTTATCTTCTGTACTTCATTGCCCCTAAGTGTGTAAGAGAGTGACTTTCTCTTTACCTGATGTACTTCTCCTCTGTCTGCATTTTCTTTTTGCCTAGTACGGAAACAAGTATTACATAACAGGCTGAAGTCCATGGATATGGATTATTTCAGTCATTGTAAATGTGGGTTGATTGGAGGGAAACAATGGTTTCTTGGTTGTGGAGGAATTTTTTACTTGTCAAGATGCAAAAAATACTAATTGGGAGACTTTTTCCTGCTGCTACTTGGGAGTCTACTTCTGTTTAAAAAATGGATAAACTCCATGTGTCTGTATATGAGCAGAGTGTTCTGCTCTATTGTATCTGCAATTTTGCAAGAAAACAAGTAGAGTGGAAAAATTAAAAGAAAACACCCAGTCACATCAGCACACGTAGTGTTATGTTCAGACTCATACCAAAACAGCTGAAGTAGTCATCTGCTATTAAAAGAAATGCTGAAACTCAGGCTTAAGCTTATTTTTATGCCTGGATATCATTGTTTAGAATGTTCAAATAGAACCCATTGTGAGTCAGTGAATTTATCTGCTACCATGCACGGGCATCTCTTCCTTTGGAGAAGGGAGGGAATATTTGCAGGCTGCAGATGGCAGAGCTGGAGCTGGCCCACCTCTCTGGGCCTGGTCACTCTGGTAGGGGTTAGGGTTAAGTGGGAAGGGCATTCAGATGTCCCTGGTGGAACTCCAGCCAGGCATGCAGGCTTGCTTGAACACCATCTGATTTTTAAGTCCTGAGCACCTTGCAAAGCCCTATTAAAGTTAATGGGAAGAATAACAAGGCCTTTGGTGAGAGTGGCTTGATTCCTAATAGGAAATGCCATGAGATTTATCTGTGGTGTTGGCTGAGCTACAGATGTTGCTACATTTACTGCAAAGCATTTTTCTCCTGTATATAGAAATTCTTCAGTTGTAACATTGTATTGAATTTCAGCTGTGTATAAATAAGATGCATAATGCTTAAGTAGCCAAATTGCATAGAATGTACTCTAATAAGCAGGATTTCTTCAAGCACAGTGTTTGGCAGCACAGAAAGGTTTCCAAGTACCTGTTTAATATGCAAAAAAAGGCGTTTTATGATGACTGATTTTACGGATAGTTGTTTTCTGATCATTAGCGAGCTTTCCTTGGGGTAGGAGAGATTCTTGAGACTGTTGAGGGGTTGAGATCTCCTTTAAGTAAGACTTTTAAAAACAGAAAAGAGACATATCTGACATGTGATTTAAGTGCATTTCTTAATTATATCTTGAGACTAGAAGGTAGACTAGATCAGCAGTTACCCACCTGTATGTCATACAAGACATTATATCTTGAGTAGTGTGTAGGTACGTTTGTTGAGATGTGTTGGACTAGATCTGGGACATCCCATAGATCCAATTCCATGATGTAATAACCTGGCTTGTGTTGCATGTTTCATATCTGTAGAAGTTGTTTTAAACAAATGCTTATACATAATTTTTGTTTATTGCAATATATGACCTGCTTGGGTAACTGAGAGAATTAAGCAAAGCATCTGATTCCCAATACAAATGTATCTGACCTTTTGAATTAGAGGAACATTTTAGTTTCTAAATGAAAATAAAATCTCATTTATTTCGTTACTGAATTTTATAAGGCTTCTCATCTTCAAGCATGAGGGTTTCTTTCTCTGTCTGAGCTGCTGCTAATGTACAATCTATGCAACTGAGGGAGGAACACAGGCTTTAAAGTCAGCTAAACTGAACTTGCCACTGGTTCAGCTACTGAACTGTTATACTTCACACCAAGCTGATCCCATGGTACTTTGTGTTTTTTAAAAAGGACTTATTTAAATAACTGCATGGCACTTCACAATACGGATCTTCTCTAAAGTGCAGTTCAAATTTAATGGAAACTTTCAAAAACATATTTATAGTAATTTCTTTTTTTTCTCCTGTGGTTTAGATCATATTTTCTTTTTCCCTAGTGACTTTGAAGTTGGTCTTCATAGTTTTCATATTGCCACCATCACCTCTAATTAGACTTGAGTCTGTGATGTCAGGAAGATAAGAGTCTCAGTGTCTAAATGAGTTCTTGCACAAAGAAGATACTTTTTTTTTCTGTTTATGATCATTGTGATTAAAAAAGCAGTAAATGTTTCCAAGTACAATGTTCTAGATTTTTCTCATGATATACCAGTTGCTCTTCAGTCAGATCTGTCCATTCCCTAAGGGCACAGCATACTTTTTAAAATGTACCTTTTAGTAGTCTAAGAAGGCCCTTTCCCTTACACTGTCAGTGAGAGGTGTTTCTGAATCTGAATCCCATTTCTTTTTTTCTGGACAGTGTTTATTAGAGGAAAAAAAAATCTTACATTAACTAGAAACACCCTTTTCTGTTGCCTTTTAAGATATTCCTTAACACAATTTTTTGGAAAGAGACCTCACCATCATATTAGAAAGATCTGTCCAAGAGCAGTGTTGTAGATTTAAAACAAGGCTTTATGTTCTGAGAGGATATCACTGACTATATGTATATACTATGTTTAAACAAAAGTGATAATAAAGGACAAATGCAGTCCTAAAACTGGAGCAAACTCCTTCTATGCCAACAGTTGCTTCTATGGATGTATTTGAGGGAACTGCTGATTCTGGATGCTTTGAATCTTATGGAAAAGATTTTAAAACATCAGAGATATATTTTGCATAGTTCTTCCACAACCAAAACTAATCTCTTGCTTCTGTTTTAATTTTGTTTAATTCAACCCTGTTGAACAGCTTGGCTAGAATGCAAGCTACATTTTTGAGTGGGTTCTGGAGATTTCTGTTAAATTACATCCTTAATACGTCCAGTTTTATGATACAGCCTGTTGTTAGGTTAATTAATAGTACAGCTGGATCTAGTTAGTTACTTTGCAAATGGCAAATGATACTGTTACTTTATAAAATGAACTGAAGCCAGGGTAAATAGATAAATTCTGATTACAGGCTATTTAAGTTCTTTCTATTTTGTGTCTGTCTTGCTTAAAGAGTGAGCTCACTAGAATTTTGCATCTGCATTTTATCATATAATGATAAACAATATTATAGAGCATAGTAAATACTTCGCTTTTCCAGTAGGTTGAAACAGTATGTTTAGTAACAGAAAAACATTTCTAATAAAGAGAGCTTGGAAATGTTTAAAATTTCATCTGTCAGATGGTTTCTGGAGCTTTGCAGGATTCATTGCACTCTGATAATACTCCTGGTAGCTAATCCTACATCAGCAGAACTAAATTTGTGCATGAATTCTTATATTTCTTTAAAAGCAATACTTATTTTTGTGTTATTGAAGTTCTAAAAGTTTGCTTTATGAATTTTGTTTGTGTTATAGTGAGAGAGGTACCAAAAAATGGCTTCCTAACTACTATTTCTTGGAGTTCTGTGTTTATTAGACTCTGGAAGCAGAATAGACCATGATTTCTGAGCTGTGGTCTGTACATTCTGAGACTGTATCTAAACAGCAGGGTGGATAATAAATGCTTGAAACGTTCAGAGAGTTGGATGTGTGCAGTGATAAAGTAGAATATTACAGTCAGTGTTGCTTTTACCCAGTTCTTTTTTCCTCCAAAACAAAAGAGAGAGAGGAAAAAAAAGTAATTCCTATACCAGAATCCAAGCACCCAAAAGGGAGAGGTTCAGGCAAAATGTTGCTCAGTGAGGGGGTAAAGAGTGTTGCCTTGTCGTCATAGAGGAAAGCAGCGAATGCTGGGATCTCTGCTACTGAATACAAATAACTGCACAATGGCTTTTTGTGTTGCCAGTGACATTGATGTACACATTCTCTATGTAGCTGAGGCATATTCCAGGTTTATCAAATTTGATGTCATGAATCGTAGAACATACACACACAGAGCAAGCGAAGGCACAGTGCCTACTTTAATACCCTTTTTTAATACTGTTTTGGTATTAAACGTGTTTTAACATCCCAGAAACAGCACGAGGTAGTGTTGTACAAAAATAGACTACTTAAAAGTATCTCCCTCTTCCCACAAGTCTTGGGGTGGTGGTTGTTTTTGAAAGTGCACCTGATGTTAACAGTGGTATTTGAAGCAGTCATGTTGCTGATGGGAGGAACATAAACAGTACTATTTGTTAGGTCGTTGCCATTTGTTTCAAAGTAAAGCGCTGTCAGCTGTAACTGGAGTGGAAAAATAATGAGTATTCCTCTTTATTTGCAGCTATATGCCAGCCAGGGTGCAAACACGGTGAATGCATTGGGCCAAACAAGTGTAAGTGCCACCCAGGATACACTGGAAAAACCTGCAACCAAGGTAAGAAATAGTTTATTTTTGAAGTCATGGAAGTATTGTTGATCCCTCTACCCCCTACTGCCAATGCTGTGTGTGTCACCTGTGTTTATAGGGTAATGGACTTATATAGCAGGTCTCTTACTGCTGTAGCTGTTCTGATTGGGACTGACATTGGTAGAGAGAATGACATCTGCAGTGGGATGACACAGGGGAAAAATGGCTTTCATTAAGCTGAAATCAATGTGAATAGTATATAGTATGTCTTTACATGCTTTCCTGAACCTGAAGCAAATTATTTAAAACTTGTGGTCAGGGTTGTTATTTTATAAAGTCACAATTTTCAGTTCTGGATAGTGAAATAGTATTTGTTTAATTAAGAAAACCCCATTGTTCATACATTCTCATATTTGTTTTTCTAATCCTGATCTAACCAGGTAGCAACAAACTGTACTACATACTGAAGAGCTGGTGTAAAGATTAAGTGTTGTTTCACTGAATTATCAATATAGTTGCATTGTTTGTTTTTTCCTGAAAATGACTTTCAAAACATGTCATGGTATAAAGATCATAGAGTATAAAAAAGAATTGTAATACATGATTTATTACATTTTGATGGCGAAGCATCAAACATACAAGCAAAGATATCTCCATGAGACTGTTCTTTTTTCCAGGTGTCTCAGCCTATGTGAAAAGTTAATGCATTTTCTGAGCATGGAGGAAGTATGGTAGAAGAGTGTGATATTTAGAACAGTTTTGTAGTTGAAAAATGTCCCCTGATGTTGTCTAACTTTCTTATGATGTGCTGAATTTTAGAGTTATTTTCTTTAAAAACAGATACATATTTATTTTTGGATTTACTAATCCTTCCTGAACTGATGTGGAAATGAATGTTGTGTTTTTCAGTATTTTACAAGTTTGTCATCTCTCAAATTACCCTGTCTTCTTATCCGCTTACTCTGGGCTGACATTTTAAAGGATGTGTTGTTATGATCTTATTCTATACATGTTTTAGTCAGTCTAGAACATTTTTAGAAAACAGTGTAGTGAACTAGCAGTTGTTATATATATATGGAACAGGTTTCATATGTACTAATTACTTTAATAATATTAAAAAAATTGTTGTGCAAATTACTAGAGGCTGCAATCTTGAACTAAACTATGTACTTGCCACTAAATGCTATGGAAGGAAAAAACTGTTGATAAATGATTAAAGGAAACCCTTTAGGCAGTATTGATCAAATATTCTTCCATGGTATTGGTGACAAAGTTGCCCTGGCAGAGGTGCATGAGGTTTCTGAGATGCCTGCTGACTGTGGTGCCCCAAATGTACACCAGTTCAAGTGACTTCTGCTATTCTATTACGTGGTGAGACCCTCGAGCTGTTCCTGGGATCAGGGTATGTTTTCTTGCCATGTGAAACACTTCTATTCCACTCCTTGGATCATCATGCAAGAAATACAGTGTCAAGGGGTTAGGTGGTCCTGTGTTTAAGGTGGTGTGATCCTTCTACCTTCACAGCTTCAAGCAGTGATGCAATTTCTTGCAGAGGGTGGAGGCTAATAGACCGATGGTTGTGATAGGAAAGCTGAACTTGCAGTGCCATTAGCGTGCAGAGCAAATAACTGATTGTATTTCCTTGATGCTCTATGCCTGTATTCTGAAAAGTTTTGACTCTCCACCACACTCGTGGTTGTCACTGTCATTTGTTTCTTTCCTCTGCTCTCCTTTCAAGGCCTGCCCTTTTTATTTTTTTCTGAGTTCCCTTGTAAAGTGAGCGCAATGGAAATTGTTTATCAGGTTAGATAAAGATGAAACTGATTTAGATAAAGCTGGAAGTTGAAGAAAATGAGTGTTAACTTCTGCATTTGGCAGCTATTGATTAATCACACTAATTGATGTGAACAAAACTCTCTTTGGGGGTTACAAATCTCTCATGAGTTTGACATGGTAGTGTGATGGTAGTTGCTGGAAATGAAAGCTGATCTACTCTTTATGGCATGGTGATAACAGTTTAATTTTTGTACTTGGTTTCTGGTCTTTGGTTTTCTATTTTCAAAGTTGAGTGAGTGAGGTACTGAACATTTTTTGTGTTGCTTGATACAAGTTAGCTAATAGGAAGAAAAAGGCAGGAAAACTGAATGCTGGAGTCTGCAGGAGCTAATTAAAAATAGCAGAGTGTATTGCATCTTGCTAGGGATAAACGCCCCATTGTTAAGTGTTCACTGAAGTTGGTCCAAGATTGCGTGTGGCGCCACACAGCAACCAAAGAATCATAGAAGTCACATCCGGATTTGCCAGCAAAAGGCACTTATCCTTTCCTTGTACTCACTCACATTTTCATTTCACTTCTTTAAAAATAAAATACTTGTACTCAGCAGCCTGTGTTTGTTATGAACCTTCTTTCCATAGTGCTCAAAACTGTCAGTCTGTCTTTATGTGCAGTACTGTCTTATGTTATTTTGAAATTAAGTGTGCTGGTTTTGCATTGACTGCACAGTTGTAGGCAATGTGGGAAATTAAATGGCAGATCAATGAAATTCCCAGGTGCAGGACAGTGAGTGGACATCCTCACAAAGAAATAAAAGGGATTTGTTAAACTTTTTAAGTGTTACACTTTATATTTTAAATGCCAGTGCGAGATTATAAGTGACAAAAAGAAATTATCATAAAAATGTTATTTTTATTACCCTTTGAGTTTATACAGTTTAGCTTTCAATTTTTTTAGAGGCGACTTCTTTTCTTATTTCTTCTTTTGATGCATAGACATTTATACTGTGATGTCTTTATAGAGGTTGCTTGAAATATACAATTGATAAGTAATTGGCGTTTCTTCAAGAGCCTTCTTGCTATGGCTGGTTTTTTTTTTTTTGGCTGCTGACGTTTGCCTGAACCTGTTCTTGAAAAGTAGCCTTTACTTAAGGAACAAGAAACACTCAGATCTAAATAGCAGTATATAAATAGCAGGAATACTCCAGTGCTCCCCCTGTCCATATGCAGCACATCCAGACATTTCTTAGGGAAGTACGCTGCTACAGATTATGGGTGCGTGGAGGTGGATCAAGGGAGCTGTCAGCATATTCATACAGGCCTTTATGCAGAACTAGTAGGACCTGCCAGGAATCGTACAATGTGCCTCCTAGGGAACTGTGTGATGCTTGTCATGTGGTTTCCGAGTATGTGCCTGTCTGCACTGCTGACAAGAAGAAAAGTTGCGTTTTGGGAAAAATTGGATGGGCTGAGCAGTGTGCTCTAATACACCTAAACTGTTCATGGGCTGGCTTTTCTCTTAAGCAGCCCTAGCACTGGTAGTACTTGTTTTCCTGAACAGTAGCATTCATTCTGACTCCATAAGGTTAAAAACATCTTTCTCTCAATAACCAGTTTCAAAGGCAAAAGTGAAAACCAATGACACAGGAGATTTAGGTTTAAGTGGAGCCTGTTTTTGCTGTCTGGTAACCTTAGGTTTCTGTTACATCAGCCAAAGTTAAGATTTTTACTTTTCAAGGTATTTTTAAGATGTGAATCAGAGGAGTCTGACAGCATTTGTTCATAGACAGAAATGTAATGAAATGAAGGCAATAGAAATAATTTAGCCCAAACTCCACAAATAGAAAGCACGTGATATGATATCGTAATAGAGTTGGTTGTGCCCGCTTTTTAATATCAGGTTATTCTTAGAGTTTGTTACTAATAGCTGTCTATTTGTCAGCACCAGAGCTTTCATTTCTGTACTAAGAATATTTTGTACCAAATGGTGGTGTAGAATTCAGAGTCCTACAGAAAGATCCAGTTATTTAAGGCTCATAATGTAATCTATACTTTATGCAAGATGGTAACCTGGGAACAGCCATAAATTTTTATGCTTTTCAACTTTGAGCCTGTGGTCATAACTCTGAAAGTAAGTGCAAGACACTTCTTAAATCTTCAGGAGTATCTAAACTTGGGAGCTGAATTGCAGGGGAATTCAAACACTAGAAATTACCTCAAGGCACTGTTAAAATCCTGCTCTGTCAACCTAATTTCAATGTTACCTTTCCTTATTTTGTCCCTACATCTAGTTAAGTATTTTATACTTAGCTCTGTTAAGCATTTGTTTTGAGAAGTCATGCTTTTTGTACAAAAGAGGAAAAATACACGTATTTTAGACATGGAGAACTTTTTTTTTCCTCTTACATTTTACTTTCTCTTACTTTACATCTCAAAATGATGATTGTCAGTGAACCTCAGTATATTCAATAGTGTGGACTCCTTGGGGATACGTTTATGAATTGAAATCAAATGCTAGCAGAGTTTTTGAATTTAACAATTATTTTTTTAACAGACACATTGTATGTGTAATAAATATGTTCATGCAGTTATAGTGTCTGTCAGGAGCTGCCTACTTGTATGTTTTACAGAAAAAGGAAAAAAAAGCGGGGTGTTTTTTGGTGCTGCCGAGAGATGTTTAACTTCCAAAATGTGAGCTTTCATCTGTTAACTATTGAACATTTTTATGTAAAGCTTTTTTTACTCAAAGGTTTTCACAATGAAAACTTGTCCTTCCCCTCTAACGTAATCACCTGCTGCATTCCCATATGACCTAGACACATATGCTATCCTGCAGAAGATCTCTTTCCACAGGACTAAATGTACGTTCTTCTACAGCTGTTTTTCTCAAACCCAGCAGATACATTCTTGTTACTGGGCATTGGTGCCTGTTGGGAGAAGTATGTTCTCCTAGCAACTACTGAAAAATTTTCCAACTCCCAAAGAGTGAGAGTTGAAATGGAGTGCTCTTTCTGCAGCGCATGATCCACAGGAGGACTGCGGAGATGGTCATCACCCCTTGTTTGTCAGGCATAGGTCTGGCCCTTATTTTGCCAACCTTCCCTCAATGAAGTCCTGCTTATGCTCACCTGATCCTCCTCACCACTTGAGGAGCAAATATGCCCCTTCAGGTTTCCTAGAAACATCTTGGTCAGCCTTCCACAGGAAGAAAGGGAAAATTATATCCCTTATCACTACCCCCTTGTGGAAAAGGGGAGCAGGAAGTATTCTTGTCTCTAAACATGCTGCTCTTCCCGAGGCCTTGGAAAATGAAGTAAAGTAGATCATATCTATCAGTTAGGGGAAGGGCAAGTACCTCACTCTCTATTCCTTGACCCCATGAAGATGAAAACAAAGTAGGTCAGAAGACAACAGATTTTATGATACACATAAACACTGTTAGGAGCTCTCCAGAGCAGCAGTGATGTAACAGGCAACAGACTTGTGGCTGCTTTTGGATTACATCAGTGACTTTTAGTCTGATACATTTATTTTTCTCTTGATGGCTCTGCATTTTATCAGTCAAAATGAAAGGGAAAGTATTTCTCATTTTTAGAATGCCGTTAAAAAATATTTTGACCTGAAAAGAATAAGATGAAGAATCTTGCTCTCTAAAACTAAGTGATTACAGTGTTTCAGGATTAATTTAAAATCCAAACATCGGGAACTAGAAAAATTCCAGGCATAGTTGTCCAGAAGCAATGTTTTCTCTAATTTCTTCTCCACAGTGAATGTAACTTTTCTCACTCCATTTACTACGTAGACCCTGTTAAGTTTTCTACTTTAATCTGAAAAACAATCAACAAATTACTGACTTTATTCTAACGAGAGGTAAATTTATCTTTCTGTTTTAACATCTTTAACACTTTAACCCTGAGCCTTCAGCTCTAGCCCACAGAAAGTATGTGTCACTTCCTCAGTTATTTTATGAAGTGGCTATGGTGTGTGAGGATCTACCACATGGTAGGAGCCCCAAGGCTTGCTTTTCTGCTACATGGATGAGGGATTGACACTTAATGAGATACTGCTTAATAGTGGGAGATGGCTCTTTGAAAAATTCTGGAAATCATGGCAATTTTCCTTCTGTGACAGAGCTCCAGAGAGCATTGTGCAATATTAAAGGTGAGGGTCGGTAACTCAGTTTTTTAAGTACTCACTGGCTGGATTTGTGAATAGATTTATTATTTTCACCTTTGTTGTCATCTTTGCTTATCACTATACAAATAACTAAGTAACATATTATTCTGGTTTACTCAGTTAATATCAACACATTCTTGGAAGAGAATTCTGAAGGAAATCACTCAATCTTTACTTCTTGTTTAAAGCCCTGTCTACTTATATGGAAATTGTAGGCTAAATATTTTGTATTGAATTCTGTATTAAGTTGTAAATCTGAAATACAGGCCTTCGTGGATAGCTCTTGACAAACATAACTGATGTCAGATACCTTTTTTTTTCGGCATTTTGTAGATAGTAAATAAAAAATTTTCTCTGTGAGATTGTTTAAAGTAGGTTAGCATCAGCTTTCCTACCTTCCTCTGCAACTAATTTTGAAGCATGATAGTGAATCACTGAATTGCTATCAGAATTGCTGATAGTGATTACAGAGTGACATTTGCTTTCTTCTTCCTCCTCCTGCTCCTCCAGAGTGCTGGCTGGTCCTGTACATGGCATCACCATGAATAGTGGCAAGATGTGGGCATCCTGAGCTTGTGTGTTCCCTAATGAAATGGCTGGCACATCTAATACTAATGCTATCATTTCTGAAAAGATATTGATGAAACCAAAGAAAATAAGCCACTTGGCAGGAAGGAAGAACAGTGCTTTGCACAGAACGTTCTGGACACTTGCTATCAGCTGAACTGCATATAAACAGCTAATTGCCGTGTTTTTCCTCCTTTCTCCAGCAACTTGAGCTAGTTTTCGTCACGCACGCTCTGTGTGTTTTCTTTTCCCACCCTCTTCCCTTGTGCCCTTCGTTTCAGATCTGAATGAGTGTGGACTAAAGCCGCGGCCGTGCAAACACCGGTGTATGAATACCTACGGCAGCTACAAGTGCTACTGTCTGAACGGCTACATGCTTATGCCAGATGGAACGTGCTCGAGTACGGCAAGGCTTGTTGCTTGCTTTTTTTCAAGCTTCTCAAAATCCCTGCTTGAGTTTCCCTGGGAAACTTCTATGAAACAGAGACGGGTTCCAAAGTAAAAGATTAATCTTCCTGGAAATTAGGCGGTTGCGCAAGACGAGCTTCTTTTTTTTTTTTTTTTTCCCCCTAATAAAATTAGGCTGAGAAAACCAAAAGCAATTATTTTGATTTTATTAGTTTTATTACAAGTTTCCCCAGAAGCATTCTTCAGTGCTGTAAATCACTGTTAATTGGCCTTCAAGGACAAGTGCTTGCAGTTTTCATTGCAGCAAGACACCTGCAGTTCTGCTGCATTATGGCCTTGTGAATGTAAAATCTTTAATGCTGCAGATGTTGGTTGTTTGACTGGTATAAAACTGTACTGTCGTCTCTCTGGAGATCAGGTTCCTACTTGCTCACATAAAATTGGTTACCTTGAACGCCTGGACAGAGGGAAGGGAAGAGAAATTACCTTTAATTAGAGATGCTCCTATTTTAAAATGGCAGTATTGTCCAGGAGAATTTGTTACATACTGGGCTTTATATTCCTCATGGGGGCTGCATTCTATGACACAACTTGCAAGAACTGTGGTGGTTTTCTCTCTTTTCTTCCCCCCTCCACCCCCCTCCTTTGGAGATGCAGTTTTTGAGGAGATGAATTATACTACAGATGCATTTGCCCTTTGAAGCCCAAGAGGATACCTGTCAAATTCAACAAGCATTTTTCCACTTCTATCATAACTGTGTGACATCTTAATTCTTCAGAATTTTCAGTAATTTTCTAGTACTGATCAGAGTCCTTATCTAAATATGTTCAACTGTTTTTCTCTAGATGCCCTCTCTTGCTTGATGGCAAATTGCCAGTATGGCTGTGATGTGCTGAAAGGGGAGGTGCGCTGCCGCTGTCCTTCCCCAGGGCTGCAGCTGGGGCCTGATGGCAGGACTTGCATAGGTAGGTGATCAAATGTAGATTTAATATTTTTTTTCTCTCCACAGTGTTTTTATCCTTACATTTAATGGAGTTCAGGAGAGTTTCAGATGAAATTAGAATGCATTGTACATGCGATTTAAAGATGTTACTAATGAGAATTATAATGAGGGATGTTGCTCAAGTGGTCTGTGTCAGAGATTGCCAGTGTTTTCCCTCAGTCCTGCAAGTTCATTGTCTGTCTAAAGCCCATACAGACTGTTTGGTATCCAAGCCCTTGGGCCTAAGACTCCAAAATACCTGCCTGCATAAAAAAACAAATGTGGAGGTCAGCTCTCCCTCATACCCAGCATGGTGGTGCCTAGCTCAGGGGGTAGAGGGGTAATTTGTAAAAGTCATTGACATTATAGTGGAACAAGGCAGAAGTTTATGCATGCTCCCAGTGTTAATGGAATTGAATCTGCTATCTTTCTCCCATACTGTGAAAACTCCAGGTTAAAATAAACTCAGGAATTCAGAATGTGTAAAAGTGAGATGTTTCGTTTCCTCGTTTGTGGACACGGTAAAGGTGCTTATGATTAATCAGACTCTACTATGGTCTGAAGAACAGTGTGACGTGTGATTTTATTAGTCATTAACTATACATCCTGAGTGTATATGATGCTCCAGTGATTTTATTATTTATAACCTATGCAGTGCTACAGTTCCATAACCAGTAACAACCCCGAAAGAATGCAAGAAAATGTGGATGTCCTAATCATCCATTAGGGTGTCTTGGTTGTTCACGAGGCAGGGGGTTCTCCAAGTGCCTGACCTGTGCTGACCAAGAATTTGTTGGCAGAGAAAGGGATAGATTTCAGATTTTCTGATGTGAAGAGCAGGCTCCACACTAAGTTGGAGGTTTTCTAAAGTACTTCATTGGCATGTTTATGCACAGAAAAGAATGGAAAAAAGGAGAAAAGAACCTCCACCATTTTTACATGCTGAAGGGATTAAATTATGATTAATTGCATTTTAGATGTTATGGCAGACAGAGATCTTTGGAAGATACTTGTGCCGTGCCACAGTGAGCTGAGTGATTTAAAGTACAAATTCAAGGAAGTTATGCCAAGTAGAGAAACTTGCTAGAAAAAATGCCTGCAACATTCTCCTAGTGTGCATTTTTATATTCAGGCAAACTTCATACTTTGAGATAAACGAAGTGTACTTTAATGACAAAGACTAGCACTCAACCCAGTCATATGAAGCTCTTTCAGTTCTTCAGAGTAGTTTAAAAAAACCCACCTTTTTTTCCCAGAAAAGTGAAGAACTGTGTACCCATATTTCAGTTGGGAGTGCATCATTCAGACTGATCTCATAACCCCTTTCTAGAATTTCCAGAAAAATTTCAGAACAGGCTTGTACAATACAGAGAAAGTATTTACAGCTGGAGATGTTTGTTCTTTCCACATCATAACATAATGTACTCCCCTTTTTTTGGTATGAAGTGCTTATGATGTGCACCCTTTTTATGCCATTTTTCTATCAAGTTTGATTTGTACTAAATGCTTCCAGGAATTGAAGTTATTTGGGATTAGGGTCGTGCCTTTTGCTCACATGGGTACAAGTTCATCACTCCTGGGGAAGCTGTCAGCTCCAGCAAAGGTCTGGATAATGCTGCAGTACAAATAGAAGCGTAGATGATGGTAAGAAAATTGAACTGTGCATTGGCTACATCTCATGAAATCCTTGTTTGAGGAGAGTTTGAAGGACAGCTGGGAATGTAATGCTTTTTTTTAGCACAGGTGGAAATTCCTCTAGGCACTATTTTATGCTTAGTTTAACCCATGCTGATCATTCTCTTGTTAAAATGTTCCTTCCAGATAATCATTAAAAAACCACGAATTTGGCTGTGAAGGTAAATCATATAAACTAAATGACAACAAAGTGAAGAATAAATCAGCAAAATAGTCAGTGAAAATGTGGATTAAACAACTAATTAATTAATTAATTAATGACTGAATCAATAAATCAATTAGTGTTGCCAGATTTTTGGATGGGGATTTTAATTTAATGAAATTAGCAGGATAGACATTTCAGCTTCAGAAGGTCTGAAATTATTTGAGGACTGAAAATAATGATTTTCACTATAAAATAAATTATTTCCCTTTTTTTTGTGTGTGTTTGTATAGAAATTTGAAAAAATGGCATTGTAAACTTAAAAATCAGTTTTTAAATCAGTCTCCTAGTTGTTTTGTCCTTAAGTTGGTAATATGGTCATACTCACAGCAAGAAAGAAACAAGACTGTAATTCTGATTCTCTGTTGAACAGTAACTATCACACTCATTAGGTGCTGTCTGCATTAGGTGCCTTTGGAGCAGCTGCCTGGCACTGAGAATACAACTCACTTCTTCATCCCTGCTTTTCTTAGGAAGCAGGTATGAACCACAGCAGGTTGTAGCAGGCAAAGGGAAACAGCCTTACACCATTTGGTCCAGGTGTGCATTAACTTGAAAGGTGCCACAGTCACTGTACTATTTGAGAACTACTCCCCCCCTAGTAATGAGTATCCATGCATCTCATATTAAATGCATGTGGAAGATTGTTATATTTTTCCATTATTTTTGTGTCAGTTTTCTAAAGTGTGTTGATTAGCAGTTCAGTCCTGTATCTTTAAGAGGTATAATTGCATAGCAAATTAAACAATACCATGACACTGTTCTCACTGTGTAACATACTGCTTGCCTGATGTGAATTTGCAGAAATGTGAATGTGTGGAAAGGGAAAAGCAGGGCAAGCTACATTAGGTTTTAAAGATCATAATCCATTCTGAGATATGTTCAATGGCTAATCTTTTCCTTCTTGAATTACTTTCTGAAGTTGTGGTTTAAAGATTGAAAAAAACCAATCAAAACCAACAAAGAACAGAACTAATTCACAGTAATCAAGAGTTTGAAACTTGCAGCCTTGGAATAATACTTTAATAAAGAGTAAAAAACTGTGACTTGTAAATTAAATTCTAGTGAAGAATGTGGTAGAGTTTGTAAAACTTAACAGCATAGTCAAAGCCTAAAATGTTAATAATAGATTCAAATCAAGAGAGATTTATAGGAAGATCCAGGCATGTGGAGAGGGGCCAAGTATTGGTCTTGTTTTCTTTCTCATTCAAGCCTTTACTGCACCATTCCAGCAGTGCTCTCCTTGGAGAGTGGAGGTTTGCAGCTATGTCAGAGCAGTCTGATGGGCCAGGAGTGTGGGAGCTCAGGGGTTGAATCCCTCCTGTCCTCAGTAATTCTTCATGCAGACTGGGACAGTGCCAGCAGGAGCTACTGGGAGAATCCGTCTGGCTGGTAATTCATGGTTGTAGGTCACTTCTTTTAGCTGTGGGAAACAACACATCTTGAAGAATTTGAAGCTACCTCTCCCCTGCCTCAGGTGGCTCTCCTAACTAACCAGCTTTGTGGTAACATTTTTTTCTGTGTGGTGGAAGAGACTCAGGCTTCTCTGCCCTTTTCAGGCCTCTTTTACAAGCAGCAGGGCATCAATCACTCGGCTTTGTTTTGCACTCTTGACATCTGCAGCTGAAGTGCTGCTTTTGGGAAAAGAATTGCATAGAGAGCAAAATCTTGCTTTCCCATAGATCAAGAGCCTGATAGAGCTGCAGAGCAAAGGCTTGAACTGTGCCCTGTAGATAACCAAGAAACATCAGGAGCTGCGTGCGTCAGAGGCAGCCGTGCATGGCAGGTCTCTACCAAAGTGAAGAATTAGTGTTCTAGCACTCAGCAGGCTTTAGCTCAGTATCCAAGGACTACAGAATGAGTGGTGGTAGCGCAAGCAGCTTTTGTGTGTCAGCCTGACCTCGCCTGAAGTGTTTCCCAGGCAGTGAAAGCAGCCTTGGGTGAGCATCAGCTGCGCCCTGGGCGTCTGCCTGTCTTGTTAGTCAGCATGAAGAACAGCGGCACGGCTTCAGGTCTTGCTGGGAGCCATGTATCTCAGCACCTCAGAGATATTTTAAGGTCACTTAAGTAACCAGCTTCTCCATGACAGAGGCCTCAGCTGCAGCACAGGCACTGTGCAGCATAAGAGACTGAAAAGAACGGGTACTCAAAAAGCATTTGACCTGTGGCAGCTGACTGGTAGGAGAGACAGAAATATTGCAGCCCTAGCGTTAGCTTGAACTCCCTTTGTTTAGAGCAAGTCCTGAACAGATGAAGGTACCCTGGTAGGCTCAAAGGGCAGGTCATGGATTAGGGACACCTGAGATTTTAAGAAAACAGACCACTTCCCACTGTGTGCTTTGAATGTGCACGTATGACTTGTGCTACAGGAACAATATTTCAGGCATGTTTCAGAAAAAGAATTACTGTGGTAGTTTTAGTTATAATTCCTTACCTATAAATCCAAGTGCTGTCTTTATAACCAGGCAGGGCTTAACGGGGCAAATGAAAGTTACACAAATAATGTGACATAGATTTTCTTCAGACAAATACCATTAGAGTCTCAAGGATGAGTGCTTTGAGGCCTTGAGGAAGCTGTAACGCCGTTCTGTGGGGAACTGGAAAACATCTCATCTCCAAGGGGAAGGTACGAGGACAGCAAGTGCATAGAGCAAGCATTCAAAATTCAGTAACAGTGCTTCTTATGCCGATACATCTCTTGTTACTCACAGCAGTATTTGAAAAGGCTCCTTGCATAGGAGGCGTAAAAATTTGGGCATGTCACCAAGAACTGAAGTAAGATGGCACAGTCAGAAGTAGTGCTCAGGTATTACTGCTGGCTGAGCAAGGGACCTTATGAAAAATAATTTGGTTATTCTATGGCTTTCCATTATGTGAAATCAGTTTAATTTAGACAGCATAGACTGTATTTTAACTGCTATTAAGAATAATACAGTTCCTTTGTTTCCACAGATATTGATGAATGTGCTACTGGGAGAGTTATCTGTCCAAGATTTAGGCACTGTGTCAATACTTTTGGAAGCTACATTTGCAGGTGTCACCAAGGCTTTGATCTGATGTACATTGGAGGCAAATACCAATGCCATGGTAAAAACAAGTTATTTCTTACATGCATGTAATAGAACTGCATATTCTAAAATGAAATTAATGTTTTTAAGAGGAGTTTTTATTTTTTGTGGCTGAAATATTGAAGCAGGTTGTTCTACACTGCATCAGTATTTTAAGAAGAGGTGGATTCTAGAAATAGACTGAGAAAGAGAAAGCATGTATTTGGCCCACATTCTTCTAAGTGGTTCTTGTGTGGAAGCTAGTGGGAGAGCAGAACTGATGACCCCAGGAATTCCTCTCCAAAGCCTTTGTCCCTGCAGGGTTCACTGCACCGGCAGATGTAGGCTTGGAGCAGTGTAGTGAGCTTAAGCTGTGTCTGAGCTGTACCACCGGTCTGCCCCGAGATCCAAGATAAGAAAATGGGCACACCCCAGCTACTTCCAACCCAGACCGCCCAACTTTCCTTGCCCTGAAGACAGGTGGGGAGAAGGCAGGAGTTGGGAAATAACTTGTCTGTGTCTGGACATGAGACTGGAATGCAGCTCATGTATGCCCTTCAACAGAGATATTCCCAGGTCCCTCTGCCTTAGTTTCAGAGTCTCAACTGGTTATGATCCTTTCACTGAAGAAATGATCATGTGCAGATAACAAGGCATTGCTTTATGTTTGTTTAAGTGTATTTTTTCAGAGAAATTTCTATGCAGAGCACTGGAATATTCCTACACTGTTTTTCTTTTCTTATTATATCACTTGTAAGAAGGGGTTATTAAAATCATGATCTTCATGATCTCAACTTCAGTCTATCCCAAGGCATGTCTGAAGCTGATGCTGAGGTATAAGCCGAGAAATACGAAAGTTGCCCAGTAGTCCCTTTTACCCTGATGTTTGTATCACCACATTGTTTGTGACTGTCTACCTTCCTTTTCCCACTGGCAATTCAGTTTTATTACTTTTGTAAAATAATCATAATAATGTTTATGTTTTTGCAGGGATAAGCAAAAAGTCAAGTTTCTTTGAAGCAAATGATTTTTTTTTCAATGTAAATCTCTGTTGCAGATATAGATGAATGTTCCCTTGGCCACCATCAGTGTGGTAGTTTTTCACACTGTTACAATACCCCAGGATCCTACAAATGCAAATGTAAAGAAGGTTACAGAGACAATGGAACAAGCTGCACACGTATGTAATGCTCCTTTTGAAAAGCAGGTTCTGAAAGTTAACGTATCCCATTTTGTAAACCTTAAGGTATTGCACTATCAGACTCAGTTTCGCTAAGCTTTTTTTAATACTTAATAAGGGGCTGGGGAATGTAGTTGGAGTTTTCTAAGTCTTAGCATGCCTTGGTAAAAATACCTTTCCCTGAGACATTTTCATAATTAGAAAGAAATTCACCTCTCCCTATTCACAGCTTGATTCTAGAGATAGCTTCAGGATGAGAACAACTGAGTAAGCAGGGTAGGTCTGATCAAACAGTGCGTATTACTCATACCCTGTTGTTGTGTACACTCCGCAACTGGCCCATTTCAGCATCTCGCCCCATCCACTCCCTGCTGCTTCCCAGATGTGAGCAGAGCTGAGAGGGAGGGTTTCTCTAAAAGAATTCACTGTTGGAGAATTTGCTTGCTCACCTCATTCTTGGGAGAAGCAACCATTTCCCCCAGTACTGAATAGGCCCTACATTTGACATCCCACAGGACCGTGCAGCTCTTTGACATCTGCTGAATCTTTTTGAGGACCCTGTGTTCTTTTTTGGGATCTGGTCTTTGACTCTGTGTTTTTTTAAAGAGCAATGCCATTTTTTCCTTTAGCTGTAGCTACCATGGTAAAAGGTGATCTTTCACAAGTGGAGTGCTTGCAGTTGTATGTGGTCACATTTCATGTGTGTTACTGGGACATTGTCCTATGGTATGTTTTGTATTTTAATATACACGAGTGGCCAGAGGGAAACCCTTTTTTCCTGCTATCATTAAACAATTCATTGCTTAACAAAGAGTAGTTCGTCATTTTAAATGTGTGTTATACTTGAAACACTTGTAAACAAAATATGTGACCAGAGCTCTTATTGGGCCTTTTAAGATCTCCACTGAGATATAAAAGGCTTATTAACAAATAGAAAATTATAAATAGCAAAACAGATGTTCGTGTGTTTCATGTCTGCAGAAACTCCCCTTGTGAAACCAAATTAAAATTTGCTGTCCTTTCTTTATGAAATAGTGGAGGAGATGGTACTGTAGGTCCTGTCACTGGTGTAGGTGGTGCTCAGTTCACCTCATTTTGGTGGAGCCTGAAAAAATGTAATTTACTCAGTTTCCTGATGCTTAGCAAAGGTAAAGATTTAAGTGAAGTCTGACTTAGGTTCAATCTCTGTAAAATGATTACTGCTTATTGACAAGGAGGAAAGTTTAGAAGAAGGGGTCTGAAAGATAATTTTCTTAAGCCAGAGATGTCTGCCCATCTGTGACCAAAATGGTTGTAACATTGGAGTCTTACTAAACCTGCCTCCACTCCTGATTATGAACTTGTCCAATTTAGAGGTCTGCTTAACCCACAGCTTCCTGCCTGTGCTTTTTTAATCAGCAGTGCTCTTGGGTAAGTTTTACTAACTCTGAAAGAGACTTAGTGCATGGGAGCAGGTGGGGATGGAAGTCTTTTGGCCTTCAGTCATTCTAAATCATCTAAACTGCTGCAATGAGAAGTACTGTCTAAAGGGATATGATAACTCAGCAGTGCTGATGCTAAAGTATGTTTCTAACTGGTGGAAACATTCAGAAGAAAAAAGTTATTTCAGCAAAGTCTCTCTCTCTCTGTCTCATAATGAAATAGATTGTTAAGCTTCTGGTGTGAGAGGCTCAGATGTCCATTATGGTCCTATTTTGATTCTCTTTGCAGTTATTCCTAGTGTCTTCCTATTGAACCACCTGGTCCATGTCATATATTCAAGGGCAACTGCATTCTCCTTAAAGGAGGCAGTGGTATAAAAAATTAGGATTCTTGATGTTGGAGACACGAGGCAACCCCTCAGACCATCATATGTCCCTGCTTTTGTTGCAGAAAAGCCGATGACCAGGCCGACGGCTCGACCTACACCTGAACCAACAACTCGACCTACGCCCAGACCAACGACCCAGCCTACACCTGGACCGGCAACTCGGCTGACACCAAAGCCAACCACTAGGTACGTGCCAGTGACAACAAGACCAACCACTAGATACATGCCAGTGACGACAAGACCAACCACTAGATATGTGCCAGTGACGACAAGGCCAGTAACGACGCCGGTAACGAGGCCTCCACCACCACCCCAACCTACAACGATAAGACCTACACTGCCACCACAAAGACCTCCTCTTGTAATAACTGAAGAACCTTCACAAGTTCCCATTGAAACTACGCCTTCGAAAGGAATTATAGATGACAACAGGATCCAGCCAGATCCTCAGAAACCGCGAGGAGATGTGTTCAGTAAGTAATTTTACATATCCTTTCATTTATCGGACCTGTAGGTGCAGTGAGGTGAAAGCATGCACTGTACTGTTTGGTTTGTTTGGAACACTGTACCAATGAGAACAAAGGCATGAAATGGTCATGTGGTAAAGCTGCAAAAATAGTTGATTTTATTACCTAACAAAAAATGTGGGAAGTAAATTCTGAATCAATTAATCTAAAAATTTCTTTTTTTATTTTCTTTCTAAAATTATTGAGTATATTGTCCTGTATAAGTACTAAATTATGCTTTCAGGTGAAAGTTTTAGGGAAATGAAAGACATTTTATTGAAAAGTATTGAAATGCAACATAACTCATAAGTAGTCAATGGATTCAAATTCAGGGAGTTGAGGGTCACTATTAGCATATTTCCACAGCTTTAAGAATGGTAAGAAATGGGACCATGTCTGATTACCTAAAGACTTTTATGTGACCTATATTGTATGAATTCAAATACTCTCAGATGTTCATGACTAAGCAGTGGGAGAATTGCATAAAAATAACAGGGTAGTTTTATGGACTGTGTCTATGAAAAGGGATACATGAAAAGCTGAAGATAGTAAAGAGTCCCATAGCATGAACACATGTCATTTTAAGAGCTTCTCTGAAATGTACAGCACTATCATGCCAGCTTTAGTGCATACCACAGCAGACATTACTGGCACTTACAGAGCTATGCATATCTGCCAAGAAATACTCAACACCCGATTTCATCTCTAGTTCTGCTGCTAATTTTAGAGATGGGGAGGGTGTGTTGGATCAACCCTTCTCCTTCAGCTTGTTGTACAATAAAGCTGCTGAAGCAGGGTTGTAGGAGGAGAAGTTTGCTGTCTCAGAGCAGGTGCACAAGCAATTTGGGAGTTTTTTCTGGTTACTTTGGCACCTGTCCGGGAACATCTTGGGCTTTGCTGTAGTAGGTCATTAAATAGCAAAATATTTTGTTTCTTGTAGAAAGGATTTTCCTGTGACGTTTTATCTATTATGGACAGTTAGATAAATTTAAAATGGAGACAGAAGCTGGTTTAAAATTTAGAAGACAAATCCAGGTACTACTTAATAGAGTGTGTTTTTGACTTTTTCAAGATTATTTTTTAAACAATCTATATTCAGTTAAAAATATTAAAACATGCTTATATGACATTGTAAAAGGAAATATATAGTAAAGACTCCCAAAACTTGTGTAATGTCAATCAACAGTTAAAGAGTTCTGTGGAAATGACTCTAGATTCTAGCATTGTGCTTCTCAGGTGTCTTGTGTTGCAAGTGTTCTCTGGAATTCTAAAGCAGAGGGATAGTTTTCAGCTGTTTTCATGGAGACATAACAATCCTCTGTTTAAAGCTTATTATTTACAATTAGTTTTTCTGTATTGTCCCTAGAGGCTAGATTTTGAAGCTAATGCTTTCAAGAGATATGCTTCAGATACAGGGGTTTGGAAAAGCAGGAAAGTAAAAACACTTTAAGTTTGGTTTGATCTGACTGCAAGCTTACATTATGGTACATATAACAAACATAGGATCTTTGCAAAGTGTTTATCAACTATTTGTTTAGGTCAGCTGCCACTCTTTGAGGTTTGTGATATACATACATAGCTTCAAAGGCTTAAGTGCACTACACAGCAGGACTGCAACAGAGTCAAGCACCAGCAGCTCTTACTGGCCCCAGTATGTAATGCAGGGACAGATAGCTCCTCAGATAAGTCAACAGATGTCTGTCTTTAATCCTATATCGTTGTTTTCTATCCCCTGCCAGAGATATACTTGATATACATATGTGTGTGACATAACTGCATGACTGAAAACATATTCCACTTGTGCTCTAGATGATGCTAGTAGTGTACTCATTAGCAGAGCTGGTGTCTTTTTTATCCTTTCTCTCTGATCTTTTTCTCTCCTTTCTGCTCTCCTTTTTGCTCTTTTTTTCCCCCTCTTTTCTCTTCTGGACACTTTGAAAGTATCATCTAGATAGTGGTCACTGGTGTCCCCTCCTGCCTTCTCTCTGCCCAGAGGCATTTATGTAGGGAGTGCACAAAAGCATTTGTTAAGGATTTGAAACCTACTGCTCAGTGTAAGGCACTGCAAGCTCAGGATAGCAGAGCTCCCACCCAGTCTAATCCAGTGCCTCTCAAAAAGGGTTCCTTGTGGCCAAACACGGTGTTAGCGACCATGATGTTGGGACAATACAGAATTTCAAACTGGAATAACTAGTAACACTTAGCTAACCTTTGACTTGCTTCTTATCTGCTACGTGGACGTGCCAAATCCTTCCCACCTCCAAAAACATTTGTGGATTTTTCACTTGTCTCTATATTTCCTGAGGGAAGGGGAGTTTTCAGCTACTTCCTTCAGCTTCTTTAAAGCTGTTGCTGTGTTAGTCTCACCTACATCAGATCGTCTTTGCAGTGTTCGTGGGTTGTGGATATGAGCTAATTTCATTTGGCTTTTGCCGAGCTTCTTTGTGTTCGTTTCCACACATCATCTGCTTCTCCAGTAGAGGCAGCAAAGAAGCTAATTCTCAAAAATGAATTCACACCGTTGTTCCCATATGCCTGTCTGAAAAGAGAAGAAAAAGCCTCACTCTTACTGCCTGTACTTGTTTCTCACTGGAGAATGCAGGCAACATCTAAGTAATCTTGTAACTCTTACTGTCTTGGAAAACAGAGGAGAAAACTGATATTAGATCCACTCAGATAATGAAATGGGATTTCACTATTCAGTTTTGGAAAGTCTTCAGAGGAATTACTGTCTCATCTTAGATGGCTGCTTCCTGCTGTGTCGCCAAGGGCTGTTGTATCTGAAACAGTCACAAAAGGTGGTGTTTTGTCACACAGGGATGGGCAGAACCCAGCACAGAGAGCACTGTACCCAGCACGCACTGGCAGTTCTGATCTTCCAGCCAGTATTACCTGCTGAAGATCTCAATATTTAAAGTTGTGTTTTCAACTAGGTTATCTTGTGATGCATGGACATTTTCCTTCCTTTTTTCCCCTGGGCCTCTGAAGCCTTAGCCAGACTTTGACAAAGCAGCATGACAGTAAACACTGCTTTGCTTTGCCATGGGATAGGTGGTACTTCTGTTAGGCAATCTATGGCAAAGGGGTCATTGGTTTCTGTACAGTGATAGATGTCCTAGCGTGCCAGACTAAATCCTGCAAATCGTGGAGGTCTAGGATTGGTCCACATGAGGAGAGGAAACATGCCAGGGCATGGGTACTTTTTTTCCTGTATCTCTCAAAATCTAATTTTTCATTAGTTAATCTTTTCCTGGGCTGACCCTTGGTGACTCGTCGCTTGCCTATTTCCTCCCTTTGTCGTTATTTCACCTGCTGTCCCACACATTGGGTAAGTTTGTCCTAGGCTTTCACTTCATAGCTCTCTTGAATGCATTGCTCAGCTTGAAATCAACTGAGGACCAGTGAAATTGGTCTGTTCGGTGGTGACAAAGAGCACAAATGATAAAAATGCTGATAATGTTATTTAAATGCCTTTGCAATTTGTGAAAGGTATTGAGTTGTTGCTTTCCTTTAGATGCTTTACCGCTTTTCTAAAAATGCCTGCAGTGACTTTGGGGAGCTGCCTTTTTAGAGAACAAAAAATTAGTATTTTTTAAAATGGAATTCCTACACTTGGCCTTTGAACCACTTAGTCTGATACAGACAGTGGAATCTGGCACCAAGGATAATCTTCTCCTGATATGGATATGGGAGGAATGGCAATGAGGGAGGAATGCAGTGATGGCTTAATATTTAACTATTTCAAGACTGATACAAACTACAGTGAAGTACAGAGGAATTTTTTCTAGTTACTCAGATGGATAAGTCTCTAACAAACGGAACAAACTTCTCACTAGGGCTATGAATTTCTGCTGCCATTGGGATCTGGGTGATAACCATTAAAAGCATAAACTTAAAGCATAATACTAGATATCAGCAGAGCATGAACCCCTTATCTGTATTAAGAGACAGTTCATCAATTTTCCTTCTTAGCCTGTAGTGGAGCTGGAAAGATTGGAATTAGGAAACTTATAACAGCTATTAAAAAATTTAAAGATTAAAACTTGATTCTTTCTGTTCCTCCTTTCAATGACTGAAAAGTCCTTAGTGCAGTAAATGCAGTTGTGAGATCCTTGAAGCTGTTGAAAAAAGGGAAATGCTAAAAGAAAAGAATGACCAGATTGTTATTCCTTGATGTCATTAGAGTAGCATTTCATTTGTCTTCAGTGTTCTGGTACCTTTTAAAATGTTTTAATATTGAAACTAAAATATTTTAATATTTAAGATAGGCACTTTGTTCCTGTTGATACCCTGGAGTGCAGTCATAAAATCTAGGAGTCTTACAAGTCACACTCTCAAATCTTCCAGTTAGTTTTATCCCTGTATCCAATATACAAGCTTCTGTCGACTACTTGTTTTAGCTATGTTTCCCTGAAACTCAGTTGGCACTCTGCACCTCCTGAATGGATGTTCATAGAAAAACAGACAGGTTACTTTGCAGAAAACCTGGAAAGATATATAGTAAGATGCTTGACTTTGGTCAAAGTTAATGAGCCTTTTAACTGCCTGAGAAATTCAAGATTGGACTTCAGAGTGGTAGCATCTCTCCCCTTGTATGCAAATGGTGCTGTGAAGGGTAGGACAGTCCATGAAAACCCTTCCTGAGATAAATCTTGCCACAGAATTTAAATCTACAGAGTTGTAGGAAACATATCTTGGACACTCTGTGTGTCCAGACAAAAAAGGGTGAAGTGTTCCTCTCTGTTGCCTCTTCTTTTTAACCCAGCATATATCAAAATCTTCCCTGGAGGAAAACTGGATTTATTCTTGTTTTCTCAGTCTGACTGACCTCTGGACTACCCTTACTTTTAGCTTGGTTCTGTGTGAGACCTCGTTACTTGTGGGGATTTTTTGGAAGTGGGATTTAACACTTTCGGTCGTAACTATTCAGTCAAAAAATTCCTTGTCCTTTTTTGTTGTTATTTTTTACAACTGGGAAACCTGATCATGATTATTGTGTGGATATGCAAGTGTACTTACAGTGCAAAACCAGTGTTTGTTGTAAGCCAGAGAACTGCATTATTAATAATAATACCAGTTACTAATAACATGAAGTTGCGCTCTGTTTTTTGTTTTGTAACACCAAAACAGCAATTATTCTGTTTATTATGAATGAGTATGCAATTTCTTATTCTCCCAAACTCAGCAATTAGCAAGTAAATAGGAAAAAAAAGCCCTGTTGTTTTCCCAAACGTTTAAAAAGCTGGAAAGAAATTATTCTTATGCAGTTATTTAATATTTTCCCCCAGTTTATGAACTTTGAGAATATGGTAGTGTTGATGTATTGGCTTACTCAGCTTATAAAATTCTCCAAGAGAAAAAGAAGCCAAGTTTATATTTAACGAGCTTTATCAAACCATTGAAGTTAAGTGAAAAGCACACTGATACGCTATATAAAGTACACAGAAAGGGCTTGGAAAGCTTGCAAAAAATAATTGTGCCAAATACTTTCTCCCACGATCGCCACTCAACATATTAGTTGCTGTAGCAAAAAAAGAGTGTACACCTGGATCATATTTAGCGTCCTGAATCTCTTATGGTAACTCTTGTTTCAAATTGAATGCACATTCCTCTAATTAGGTCTGAGGACTGAAGTGTCTGGTTTAATGCACTGCAACACATTCTTCTAGAAGTTCATAAAAACAGTGTTTGGAAAGGACTTAAGGGAAATTTTTGAAGGAATTTTTTTTAAGCTTTAATCATAGGCAAATAGATCAACTTTTATTAGGAGAATGCTTGTATGTGTGCACAGATGTAACTCAGAGTTAGAAATGGTATTTTAGGAAGTAAACTGTAGTAGTTTGGAAATGAAATTCATAATATTTCTTGCAGTATTTTCTATAAACAAAGGCTACGATAGACTGGGAAGAGGGTGCACAGGGCAAGCACATACCTTGAAACTGTGACCCCTGAGTATCCCACAAATCTTAAAACATGGCAGTGGGTTTCTTCAATGCTCTTTGCCACAGCGCTCATTTAGAACCCTATAACTATCTGTGAGTCTGTGGTCTGAGCCTTTGGTCCCTAAGAAAAGCCATAAGGTGCTGGCTGGGAAGAACGGGAAGATATGGAGGCGCAGTGTGTTGTTCTGTGTTTCCCTAGATGAGAAGAGCATCCCGTTGCTGGTGAGTGCGTGGGGGATCATGAGTGATGTCTGTGAGGTGATTTGAAGTCTGGAGTCATCCTGCAGCCCAGGGAGAGGGCAGCTTGCTTTTCTGTCTGCTCCCATGGGCTGACCTCTTTCAGTCCCTGTGCCGTGTGGATGCAGCAGATGTAAAGACACTTCAGTGTGTCTGTTCCAGACTAGCAGCTACTGTATCTGCTGATGCTGTGCTCAGCACTTTTGAAGCAAATTGCCAACTTGTTCTTCACAGTATAGAAAATAAACAGTATCTTTCACCCTTAGTGCAGCCTGAGATGAGGAAAGGCAAGGTGGCAGTCCCTGGGTGTGCAGCATAGGTGTGTCTCATGTGTGGGGACTACTGCATTCCATAGGGAGCAGCAGCCTGCAGTGTGGTTGTAACGCGAGGGCTTGCATAAGGTAAAGTTTCAGTCACAGCTCTGCCCTGCCAGAAATGACAGTAAGTGACTGACAGGGTGCTGTTATTTTAGCAGACTTTGTAACTAAACACTCCCACAAAATTTTCTGTCCCAGCTGGCTGGCTGCAGTAAGTCAAAGAAAATGGAATTACCAGTTTTTAGCAGTTTTTAGCATTCCTGAGAAAACCCACTGCAGCTGAATTTAAATGGTGCCGACAGCTGCTGTGTGTGCCACAGTGGTGGTGGTCTGGGTACTCACAGACAGTTCATACACTTGTCTACTCCATAAGCTACTGCTTGTGGCTGTCCACAACTATAACAGTGTAAGAGTGTGCTTGCTGAAACGCGTCAGGACAGCCTGTGTCACCATCAGCACCTCGGTGCAGGTGTCACTGCCACTGTGGGATGGACTCGTTCAACTGTCCCACCTTCATATGAGACAGAGCTCCAAGGAAAGGCAGCAGTGTGCTGCTGGGAGGGATTAAGGGAGAACGATGGGTTTGGAGCATTCCTGTTTGATTCTTTGCTGCCTGAGGTAGTGGCTAGCTTTTTTCTTTCTTTATATAATTGAATACAGTATTTGTGTGTCAGTGTACTGCAGGGCAATTATTGGCCTGGGCAGTGTGGACTGTGCACATTTGTAAGCTTTCTTTCATGGAAAATCTCAAAGTTTTCAATAACATAAGCAAAAAATCCCAGGTGAAACAAACCAGCAAAAACACTATTACAAACAAGGTATCTTTAAAAATTAACAGTCCTCTACTACCCAAGTCAACCTTAAGTCTGAAGCTGTTTTGAGCATTAATATCCTTGACTGCAAATAGACATTATCTAAAATCTACAAAGTATTAAAAAGAACAAGAAAAAAAAAAAAAAAAAAGGGAGACTTAATAATTCAAGAAATTACTATTATAAGGAATTAATCAGTTTCCTACAAACTTCAAGCTTTTTAATGATTTATTTTTATTATAAAAGATTTCAATTCAAGATCTTTAGACTAGAATAGTACTTTTAAAATACATTACTGTTTGCTTATTTTGTCCTGATTTCAAAAATCTTTTGCTCTTCTGTCTTCTGAATTTGGAGGAACTTGTGGAGCAGTACTAGTACATCTTGTCCTAGTGCAAAAGAAGTTCCTTCTTACCTTTTGATTTGATTTTCTGAAAACAATAGTACTTTATTTCAGTTGTCTCAATTTTTCTTGTTCTCTCTTGCCTCAGAAGTCTATTGAGGCATTAGGATAGTTATTTTAGCACTGCAAAAGGAAAACGTGTCAAGTTTTTAATAGATAAGGCCCTTACAAATACCTTAGGTGTCAGAGGTGCCTATAACATCTAAGGACATGTCTGAAACACATTACTACTGTTATGAAATATGCACTAGACCTGCCTCTAAAAGAGGAATTTTCCAAGGCAGCTCTATTCAGTGCAGTCTGTTTAGCTGACAGCTGTCCATCAGGCAAGACAACTGTGTGTTATTTCTGGAGACTTACACAGACTGGCACAGCATCTTCAGAATCTATGTGGGAGTCTATCGCAGCCACCTGACTTTGGCAGCCATCATTCCCACAAAGACCTCTTAGATTTCAGGTTGTCCTGGATGCTGAATGTCTAATAACCTCTGGGCCTATTAATCATCAAGAGCTGTTCCTTCTCCATGCAGCTGGGATAGACTGTGCTGGAAAGCAAAAAGTATAATTACAGTTGAATTCCAGCTTCCACTAGAGCTCCTCCTTCTCAGCTCTCAGTACAATCCTGATAATTGTTTAGGGAGCTCTACTCCTTTGCAAATAGATGGATGTACCTTCAGCTGTATTTCAAAGGTTAAGTGCCTTTTCCAAGTACTGCTGCCTCCTGTTGAGGTTCTCCTGTAAATGCCTGTGGAAGGGTTGAGCAAGGGCTTTAATGTGGCTTTATTTTATTGAGGAACCACTATCTCTAAAAATACATTTAGAGAGGAATAGTGTGCTTCAAGGTTAAAGCTTTCCCCCCCGGTTAAAAAGGAACTTTCATTCAGAGAGCCTTTAGGAGACTTGGAATCACCTTTTACAGCGCTCAGATAAATGTTATGACATAAATCATAAATCACATAGGCATAAAGCTTATGAGTCTTCATGTCTAATATAATTAAATATATTGAAATCTTCAAGAAAAGCCCAATGTCCAAAGCTGCTCTACTGGTTTTTGTTAAAGATGAAGTTAGTTAGTGACCTACTTCCTTATCTCATTCGTTTTTCTCACAGTTCCACGCCAGCCTGGAGTGAGCAATAATCTGTTTGAAATACTTGAAATTGAAAGAGGGATTACTGCTGATGAATTTGAAGCAAATGATGACCCAGGTAAAGACCATGTCTCGTATTCAAGGCCTAGGGTTTAGGATTTTTTGATTTCTTGTGGGTTGATACGTTTTTACATGACTCCTATGTCTTAAACTGCTTGTTTAAACTATGTGTTGTAAAAAGAAAAAAAAACTCCAAACCACTGCCTATGTGAACCTTTATAGCTTAATTTCCTAACAAATTTAGCACAAAAATAGTATGAACTGTTTATAATAAAAGTGCCTTTCTTGTTTTAGTATTTTTTCAGATTCTTTTTCTGGGGCTCCTTCTTCTACATTTAATTTTCATATTTACTTGCTGGTGTCAGCCATATGGGAAGTTGAAAACCAAAACAATTCAAATCGCTTTTTTGTTTGTGACCTCCTGCTCTGTTCTGCCAGGTGTGCTGGTACACAGCTGTAATTTTGATAGTGGACTGTGTGGATGGATCAAGGACAAAGATGACGACTTGCACTGGGAACCAGTGAGAGATGGGTCAGGTAAGTTATCTGTGTATAGTCACATCCTGCAGTTGCAGAACCACCCAGGCTTGAGGTTGATGATGGTTCCTGCCTCAGAAACAAATTACACAGCTTCTGTTCCCTTTAATTCCAGAATATATTTCACACCCACAGCACTTCTGTGTATAAAAATCAAAATCGAGGATTCCCAACATGAAATAGCAATTGAAAATTTGCAATTTTATTATAGCTGTTATCTTTAAATTAGGAATGTCTCTGAAGGAGTAGTAAATGTATTCAGCAAAAGTTTGTCTGTCTTAAAAGAATGTGAAAGAACAAAAACATGAACTAGAGAACAACTTTTATTTATGGTGAAACAAAGCTTATTTTTCAAACTGCCATGTAAACATAATTATTTCTCTATCACTAGCAAAATTACAGAAAGTGCTAGAAACAGTCTTTGTTCTGCTGCCAAATATGATGTTCTAGATTAACCTCTCAGTTTGATTTTATTGAATTCTACTCCAAGCTAACAGCAACCTGTACGTAGAAAAAATGTTAATTAACTGGAAGGCAGAGAAGTTAAATGCTCATATGCAGAGGCTTCTGAAAATGGGATTGTTTGAGATGGCAGAAAATGACCTTACAAAGAACATTACAGGGGAGCGTGTACTAGCGGCTTGCAGAATAGGAGAGAACTGGCATCGGCACTGCTGGTCAGCTGAAGCAACAACCCTTCCCCTCACACACCTCTGCTGCCCCAGGAGAAGTGCACATCCACACTGCTGGAAGCTTGCATGTATCCTGTCCCCCGCTGATTTTACTGTATGGCACTGAGAGGTTGGCTGTCCTTGCCTGCGTACCCTTCCCCCCAGCGGTGCTTGCCCCACAGTGCGGTGCGGGGATTAGACACACATCCCTGGCTCCCCGTAATGATGGGATTACTTCATACCCAGGAGAGCAGCCTTTGAAGTGCACAATGCTCACATTATGTGAAGGGATGGCAGACTGAGGAAGGAACCACGCTCTCAGGGCGTAAAATATTATAGGTTAGGATGAGGGAGGGTGAGGGCACCGAGAGCCATTTTCCTTACACACCGCCTCGTCAGAGATGTCTGTCCTTATGCTGCCATTGATGAGACAGTCATTTGCCACCGCAGCAGGCGACCTGGCACCTTTTCCAGGCTGTTTAGCTCGCTAAGGGGAAGTGGTGTCTTCACTTGCTGGCCAGGTCCCCTCCCAACACACAGGCATCCTCCAGTATTTTGGGTGCTCCTTATGACACTTAAAGTCTTGTGAGTGACTTGGAGAGCAGAGCTCCTTCCTCCTGTAGATGAGAAAACACGTAGCTGTCTCCTGCTTGCAGACTGGCATTTAAAAAATGATCACACAGAAGTCATACTTTTTTTTTTTTTTTTTAAACAATGGCTTTGAAAGTGCTTTTTTCTAAGTCAGTCATTCAAAGCATAGTTATTATCTATACTCAAAAATTGCTGTTAAGATATATTAAGTTCCAAAACTGATGATTTTTAACTGGCTTTTTTTGTCAGACTTTTCTCTTGTGTTGCTTTCCAGTAGTCAGGGACAAGCTCAGCTTTTTGTTTCCTGTGTATGTTCTGCTGCTGTTGACATAACCTGTTAAAACTAGTCCCTTGAAGTCACCCACCCACTCCCTCCTGTCTGGAATACCTTGTTGCAAGGATTTATTTTCACAGCTTGTTCCTGAGTGTTTGCTTTCACCTTTCAAACTCTGCTATTTATTGGTTTATCACAATCTGCATTTTGAAAGGTGCTGTGCTGAAGCCTTATAAGCTTATCTTGCATGCAGAAAATGCTGATTTGAGTGGACCTTTTCCTGCAGGGGCTTGCCTACAGATAGGTTGGCTTTGGGCTTACCTAAATCTGTTTCCTATTGATTGGATTCAGGCACAGTAACTATCTGAAACCAGTACAGTTAATGAGTCAAGTCAGTACTTTTGTGGTGATATAATTGTATCTTCAGCAAACAGGTACAGTTACTTAAACTCTGTTATGCTTATTTTAGCAGTTAATGACCTCGATGCAAAAACAATACTAGAGGGAAAAAAAAAAAAAAAAGGAAATCTGAAAGAATACCCACCAAAAGGCTTTAACAGATGCTGGTCTAGGGGCCCAGACAGCACCATAATACTCTGCTTTATTAAATGTCATGGAGACCAAAATACTTTAAAACCTAAGTAGTGGATTGGAGACGAGGTTGGCTTTCCTTTTAAATGTGTGACAAGCCCTGGTTTAATTGTCATTAAACCTCACTGCTTTTGAGGGAAATCATTGTGACTTTCAAAGAGAAGCTTTTAAAAAGTACAGCTTGGGTTGAGTAGTAGCAGGGAGACAATTTAAATAGAGAATATTTTTTTACCCTATAATTGAGTCAAGACTGTGTATGTCAACAATATTACAAACTCCCAATATTTCTACATCATCAGTTCAACTAAGGACTCTAAATACCACCTTTACCCTAAGTTCATTAAAACACATGGATTTTTTGATTAAGTTCATTAAACTTGGATTTTTGATTAAAAAAAAATTCTGAAATCTGATCTCATGGAAAAAAGGATTCTTGGGTTAAGTGTAAGATAAGAAGTTAAGAAGTTGTTTTTTTGTTTGTTTGGGGTTTTTTGTTGTTTGTTGGTTTTGTTTTGTTTTGTTTTTAAAATTTTTTAAAAGTGAACCTTCCTCCATTTCATAATTTCAGATTTTAAAGTTATCATCCACCTTGCAAAAGTTTTAATGAAATCTGCAAAGAACAAATGCAGGTCTGGGTTTTCTCCAAGATGTGAAGTCTCATTCAGTGTAGTTCTGAGTGCCGGTGTGGAAGGTGCCCTTTTTTTTTAGATTTAATGGATGTTGCCATACCTGAGATTCTCAGCTTCTCATGTTCCAAGTGTTTTCTGGAAGGCACCTTTACTTCATACATGATCAGAGATAATGACAGGGTTTTGAATTAAGATGTTTGTTCACTGACAACTTCCTACTATTAGAAGAGACTTCAGGGTTAACAGCCACGTTGAAATCATTCTTCTATCTCTCTGAATCTAATCCAGATCAAGAGTTTAAATTATGGTTAAATAAAAAAGGCTATCCATGGTTGCATGGATAAATAGTTATGCTTTGAGACTTAACCTGTTAAAACAGCTCCCAGACAAAAGGAAAGGAACAGAATCATAGCTCAGTTATACAACAGCATTTCTTCTGGCCCTTTTCTTCGTCTATTTAAGAGCAAAACACTGCAGCTTGAAAGGTGCCTAAATTCACACGGTAGCTTTAATGGCACTGTGGGTTTAAAATCATGCAGTCACCAAGGGGTTGTCAGAAATGAAGGAATACGTGAAATTTTAGTTTTAAGAGAGGTATTATTTGCCTTGTCAAAAAGAAATTAGATGGGCAATACCTAGCCAGGTACTAATGTAAAGAGAAGAGCAGCACTGTAAATCTTACTCTGCAGGAGGCAGATGCACCAATCTTGGTTCTATATACCTTATTTAACACTCACTGGGCCTTGTGGAGCCCTTTATTTATTTATTTATTAATGTTTTAATAACTCCATTGAGTTTGGTCCTGCAAGCAAGTAGCATTTAAAAAAACCAAACCAAACCAACCAACCAAAAGCAAAAAAAAACCAAACCCCCAACTAACTCTTTTTTTCCACTGCAGGGGGACAGTATCTTACCATCTCTGATCCCAAAGGCAAAGAAGGAAGAGCGGCACATCTTATCCTCCCCTTGGATCACATGGCTCACACCAGAGACTTGTGCCTGTCCTTCAGGCATAAGGTGCCTGGACTGCATTCTGGTGCCCTCCAAGTCTTTGTAAGGAAAAACGGTGCTCACGGACCAGCTGTTTGGGGAAGAAACGGTGGCCATGGCTGGAGACAGACACACATAACTTTACGAGGACTAGGCATCAAGAGTGTAAGTACTGATGCTTGTGTTGCTTTTTGGTTTTTTTTCCATGAGAAGCTGAAGACACTTAAATGGTGTCGCACTGGTTCGTTTGTCTTCTGGGTCCAATTTCAGTCTGTGTTTTACTATTTACTACTTTGATTCCTGCCAGTGGAATCATATTAAGGATATGAGAGTCATTTTTTTTCCAATTAGTTTTATGCAAAAATAATAAAAAAAGAAATCCCACCTACACCTATAGACTCATAGTACAGGCTGTTTTGTGATTTCCTGATCTACCTTGTACAGCCCATTTTAAGGGAATCACCATATAGGAAAAGCAGCCTGATGGACGGAGCCAAACTGTACGTAGACTTCAAAAAAGCCTGTATCAAGATTCCCTGTGAACAATGCTTTGAATAATGAAGTGCCGTGAAATAGGAAGCATCCTATCCCCTGTGGATTAGTTGTAACTGGCTAAACCAGGGGAAAGATATTGAAAATAAGTAGTTTTTGGTAATGCAGGGAGGTTAACGTGCAGTCACATGTGGCTTTATGCTCTTCAGCATACCTGCTGCAGCTGCATACCTGCTGCAGCTGATCTGGACAAGGAGGTAAATTATGACCTAAGTACTCCTGTAACACAAAATGGCTTAGTGCAAGCAAAAAAAGATGACTGAAGTGCCCTGGAGAATCTTTTAATACCTGTGAATCTTAGAAACATTGGGGGATAAACTGATATCAAAAGCTCAGTGTTATTCTTCAGCCTCTGCTTACCTTTGAAGGTAGTTTCTATTTCAGATCTGAAGAACTGGCTTGGGTGCTTCAGGGCCTGTTTTTATTCTGACTTAGATATCAGGTGGTGTGAAAAGTTCACACATCATAATGTTCATGGTGGGAGCAGACTACAAGACATACACAGTATATAGTCCTAAAATTAATATTAAGGATGTAATTACTACAGATAATTTTATGAAAACTTTACCTCAGCAACAGTAACAAAGATACCTGAGTTTGTTACCTGTAAATGAGTGTCAGACTGAGAATGTGGACATTTGTAACAGCTGAACAATATATTTGCCATATTCTTACCTTTTTTCTTGCTAATTTTCACATTTCTGGCAGTATTAACTCTTTCCAGCTCAGTGATAACAGGAGACTCTTACAACGTTTTGCTGTAGGCATCAAATAATTTTTAAGCCCTGGTCAAACATATTAAAACATCAAACCATATTAAACAATTCAGGCTTTGGAATCCACAGAAGCAGCACAGGTGACTACTGCTGTGTTTCTTAAAGTCAGCAGGCCATTCTGAATATTTAATCTATGCTCCAGTCCTTTTAGTCAGGCTTTCTGTGTGTTGAATTTCTTCTGCTCAGGCTAAATCTGGACTGCTGATGATCTGTGTAAAGCCACTGCCCAAAGTTCTGCCACTATTTCAAAAGGAACCAGTGCTTCTGAAGATTATTAATTGGTTAAATAAAAGATGGGTGTTTCTAGTTCCCACAACTAAGGCAGCTGCAATGTGCTTTAGCAATGGAAAGCTCCTCTTCTAGGTAGCATTTTAGAGAACACAGAGGATTTCACATGCTTCCATGAGGGACAGTGGAAACAGTGCAGAGATGATATGTAGAAAGCCCTCAAGATTTTCTTCTGTGGAAGTTCATCTCACCTCAGTAGATGGCCTAACTGGAGCAGCTCTGTCCTGAACTACTGGTTCTTCACAAAGATCCTGCCAAAGAGAAGAAGGGAGAGGATCAAAAATAGGAAAATGCAGCCATAATTCTAAGCAGAGTAAATAGGCTTTTGTGAGTCAGTTATGATTTCCTGAGCTTTCTTAGGCTTTTGCTTTGTTATTGTTGAGGCTCTCTAAACCAATGCTTCTTTCAATTTACTTCCTCCCCACCCCCCCTCAAAGTGTTCTATTTCTCTTCCTAGGTTATTTTCAAAGGAGAGAAAGGAAAAGGAAGAACTGGGGATATTGGCCTAGATGATGTGATCTTGAGGAGAGGACGCTGCTCTGAAGAGCATTAGCAAAGACAATGGACCAGCACAGTCATCTCCTTCTCATGCAATTCCTACCAAGCTTTGAAACAGAACTGCATGAATGAGAAGAAGAAGTGGGAGAGCAACAACTTCTTGGTGGTCTGCTAAGTGCAATCTCATGGAAACTTCACTTAAATACGTGGAGAGCACCTCCCAGGATTCAGGAAATCCAATCTCAGGCTGGTTCTTTCTATTAATCCTTTACCCTTAATTACATAGTTTCTATGTAATAACTTTATCCCTTATGGTGAGTGTTCACAGAAAGAGCACTCATGAAAAAGGGAGAATTAATTACAAATGGTGGCAAAAGGAAGCTCCAGCTCAAAGTTTTAGTGTTAACTGACAATCATTAACTTCCCATAGTGCTAGTCTTTCATTGATTAGATTTAACAGACAGTGGGATTGATCTAGCTTGGGTCACATTGGATCAGTGAGAGCCTGGACCTGAACTTTGGCTTGCTGCCACTGACCTTTGAAGAAGGGTTTGCTTTGTATTAAATAGCATTTACTTTGCTGTTGCATCTGTATTAACAAAACCCAGTTATCTAGAGTAGGCATTGCATCCTGTAATATTGCTCCTGCCGTGTTTTGTGTATATGTGTATGGTTAACATATTTATGTTTTTAATATTTACAGACTCTAGTTGCAAGGTAATTGGCAGCTGTACTTTCTTATTGTACAAGACAGGAGTTCAGCATGTTCTTCAGTACCGCTGGTCCTGCCAAGTTACCAAAGTCAGTTTATGGTGCTCACTGAAAAATGCTGGTGCAGTTCTTCATGTTGTAACGTCCTGAAGGCAAAAGACCAAACACTCACCTGATATAAACTGGCATCTGATAATGGTGTACCAGTTTGCATCTAGCCCAGAAGCAAGGCTCTCAATCCTGAAAGAATCTCCCGGTTCAGTTGAAAACTGAGCAGCCGGGAGAAGATGAACTTGGATAGTGTAAGGTGGAGCCTGTTGACACCATCAGGAATGTTCCCTTCCCACAGGTGGCACAAGCCTAAACATTAAGTAAAAAAGGGCAGCTGCATTAACACTGTACGAACAATTCAGACCATGAAATGCCTTGAGTGATCTTTGTCAAGTGTCCATATTCCATCCAATCTTCTGTATATAATAAACATTTTATCCTTTAGAACTAGAACAACTATTAGCTCTAGTTGGAAATAAGTATTTATCAAAACTTTAGACTAATTTTTTAGTTATGTATCATGCATATGGTGTGCAGTTTCCCAGGAAATTCTTCTGTTTGGTTTGGGATTTTTTCAATGGGCAGCATCATAATCACTGCTAACAATTCTAAATTTGACAAAGTAATTGTAACATTTAAGAAAATGACAAGAGTTGTAAAATGCTGTTAATGTTGCAGCCTTAAAGCTTCAAAATGTACATAATAGAAGAAATGGGTCTCAGATCTTTTGAATATTTAAATACAGTGTAAAATAAATGTCAGCTGCATATCATGTTATAAAACCATCATTAAAAAAATACATGCAAAATCTTACACAAAGTCCACAGAGATAAAATTGCAAAACCATTAGATGTCATATTAGATGTTTCTGATGAAGTACCACTTTGAAAATACTTTTTCCCATTTGTCCACCAGGACAAAGCAGAGTGTATATAGCAGAAATGTACATGACCAAACAGAGAATCTCCTGCAAAACTGTACCAGCAAACATTTTGAAAAGCAAAAACCCAAGGCATTTGTAAACATTAAATTTTAAACTGTTTTGCTTCAAATATGATCATGATCTTTTTCTCTTACATTACTTTGTGATGTGTCAGAAATATTTGTGAATAGTTGAAATACCTTGTCTTTATTTTAAAGTAATCAGTAAAGGAGACTGTTACTTGCTACTAATTGGAAACCTTGTTTTCATTTTTAGATTGAAATTCTCATTTTCATTGCAGTGAAATGAACTAAAAGATGACAAAACCAAAGTGAAACAGGATCTTGTTACGAGATTTAAAAATCAAGATACATTTCACTATAATATAATGGGAGCATTATATGTATTATTCAAAAGGAAGAATGACAATTTTCAACCTAACTTTCTTAAAGAGAAGTTTCACAGGTAATTTAAGAGCTTCTGCTTCATTTTACAAGCAGCAGCTCCCATAGTTTTCAGACTACTGAACCTGTACAAACTGTACAGTGGATGAAGATGGTCTTTACCACATATTGCTACACCTATTAAGATTCCCTGGTTAAAATAGCAACCTATTTCCTATCTATGCAACACTGTCAGAGTTACAAATGGTCCCTAGAACTCACTCAAAATCTGAATTAATTCAGAAGGCAGGCATAAATAAGGTATTGGAGACTTGGAGGTCAAAACCTTGGGTTTACTGTATTTGAAGATTACAATAAGCACCCTAATAAGAGTCAGATGATCATGAGAAGACAACCCTGAGCAGAAAAATGTTGATGACAGCAGCCTTCCATCATCCTGCTCCATTCTCCTGGAGAAAAGGTGCCACAGTAGCAACTGCCTCCAAACCACGGGCCAGCTCTCTCTCTCCACACACACCCCATTAGAGGTTATTTCTCCCTGCAAATGAGGCCTGGTAATTGTCAGAAACATCACTAAAATTACAGACTTCGGATCAAGCTATGCATTGTGACAGTCACCTTGAAACCCATTCCCTCTGCATTTAAAGATATGCAACAAGATAAACTACAACTGTCAGCCTTTACAATTTGAATCGTGAATGTAAGACATATAGGGTTACTAATTAGCAAGTGAGGCCCAGTTAAATCTTATGCAATTTTTATTTGTATAGTCCTATATCTCAGACAGAAAATTATCAGAGTTTTCCTAGTGGTTAAAATACTTTCTTACCTGCTGCTTTATCCTGGTGTCCCATAGTCACACAATGTTTGATGACATTTCAGATTTTCCACATCAATTAAAAACGAAAGAAGAAGTCAGTGATGCATTGGTGTAAACCTGCAACTCTAGAAAGAAATATGAGACATTTTAGTGGTAAGTTACAGTAGTGGCTTGAAAGATCACAGAAATCTCCTCAAACTTTGAAAATTAATGTGTGCTCAGACCTCATCTACTGCATCAAACTGACCTAGTGATACATGAAGAAATGCATTTGGAATGTCTGTAATGCTCCATTTGTTTGACAGGAAGATGCCAACAGATTAAAGACCATCAGGGACCACAAAGACAACTTAACAGTGCAGACTGAAGCACGTCTAGAGTTCAAACACCATCTTGGTGTGGGTTTTCAGGATTATACAACCAAAATGAATCAAATCACATTCTAGCTGGTCTGCTCTTACCAATTGTCCTTGTGGACTTGTGTGACCTCTTCCAAAACCTCTTCCTTTGCTTTGAAACAAATTGTCCTCTAGATAGTGTTCTACGCTGATTGCTCTAAGCTGAGATGGTCTATTTTGGGAGGAAAAAAAAGTGGGTTATATTTTATTTATCTCACTTCTTTAAGTTGAAAACCAGCCTGGCTAATATTATTGGATTACAGGACAGTTGATCCAATTACTTGGATGCGAGTGCTTATTGGACTGTGGGTTCACATTAGGTTGCCTTTTTTCTTCTAAGAAATCTCTAATTTAACAGCAGAGAGCCAGATGGGATATCATGGTTACATATGCTTGATATATGTCAAAAGCATAGATTTATCTCTCAATTTCCCAATAACATGCCAAACAGTTGAGCAAACTGGACCTGAATTTTCTGGATAAAGACAGAAAAAATTCTCAGCTCTACAGATCAGGCACTCCATCATTGTTTTTCCTCAGTTTGCTTCCCAAGAGATGTTCAAGTCAGTCAGTCTTTTCTTTAAGAAATATTTAAGCTCATTCTGTACATAAGTTTTGCCATTTAACTGTTTTCCTGCAATCCAGCTGTTAAGGATCTCCCCAAGACTCAGGAACAAGCCTCCACCGCCATGAAATGACTCTTCTACGGGTACAAGAGGTTCAGACGGTAAAGTCCTCTGTCATGTTTGTCTCCCGGGTTTTTCCTTGCCGTGCATTTCAACAGCCCATGTTCTCATTTCAGACTCTCATCCTGAATAGTTTTGATACCTGTTTTGGGTGTGGCAAACACCTGGAAAGACAAAGTACAGCATGTACTCAGAGAATGATTTTACTGCATTTGTACACAACACAAGCACTCAAGTTTGAGATTGACACTCACAAGAATTTCAGGAAGACACCATCACTGCTCCGATACCACTGGTGCCCCAGCAGAAGGGAGAGACTGCATCACACTTGCCTTTTGCCCCTGCCCCTGCTGTAGGTAAAAAACTTGAAGAAATGGACTCAGCAGATTTTTCCCCCGTTAGGGTGGTTCAAGACAGAATTCCCCTATGTATGAAGCAGGATTACTGTGGCATGCATACGCTCCAGTTCCATACCAGTGTCTTTGAACTGCAAAGAACAGGAAAAAAAAGCCTTTCAATGAAAATTGACTTCGAAACAGCAAAAGGACTGGCTGTGTATCTTACTGCCCATCTTTCTCCTCTTTAAGGAAGCTGGTAATGTTAAGCTTCCACAGACAGTGCAAAACCACATAGGTTTTGGTGGTATAGTCACATAATATTGCACTTGGTTTAAGAAAAATTCTCCTTTCAAAATGCTTCAGTTTGTAATAACATCAACTTTAACAGAAATTAATTCTCCATGAACTCCATGGAGGTCACCATCTCACATTCCTGAGACTGTCCTCTGGCCCTGAGGTTAGATAGCATGTAATACCTGTATCTACGCAGGCACTCCCGCTTGAAACACTGCACAGTCCACTCCTAAAGCATATTTTCCTCAGATCCTATGCCTCAGGTTGTCAAAAATCTGCTCCACAGTGTGTCTGCCAAAAAAGAAACCACTGCCAACTTAAAATGTGTTTTTACATGATTTTATTCACAGATGAGCACAATAGTACAAGTATAGCAGAAGTGCTGAGAGAGAAAAGGATAAGCAGCCAAAAGTATACCCTGAGAGGTAACATATCAAAGGCAACATCCAAATTTAAAATCAAGCTAAAAATACCTGGCTGTCTCAAAAGAACAAGATTTTTGCCTATTATTTCAGACCAGCAAATGTTGGAACTTACTCATTGGATCTTAACACCACTTTGGAATGCCAAGTGCAGTTAAACTTTCTCCCCCTTTTCCAGACGTTTCCATGTAGATAAAATACTGAGAGTGGCACAGTGAAATGCATTCTCACACCCCTGGATTCAGGTCTAGCAGAAGAGCTTCTCATCTGGGAGCTCACACAACGTGTGCCGTCTCAGCTGGTGATGACACCACTAGAATTCTCAGCAAAGACCATCCTGACATCCAGCACAATGTGAGTAGAGAACTAAACCCAAATGAGCACCGCGCAGCACCAGTTATGCTTTTAAATTAGGAAAATAACTATAAGATTGTCTAAGGCAAGAAATTTGACTAGCAGAATTCAGAGGGGTGTCCTAGAGAGACACTTTGACTTCTATCCCTCTGAAGTTCTGAGTTAGCTCAGAGAAGGTTGTCATCTTACCACAGTTTCCTGGATCAGTTGGAGGGTAGAAATTGTGATTTCACAGGGCTCTTCAAAGTTTCCATTTCCCAATGGTTAGCCTTCTCTCTCAAACATCAAATATCCATGATTCTTGCTAGTAGTCTTTAGCCATTTGTGCCTTAAAGAGTATACACAGGGTTGAAATACACTGAAACTGCTCAGTAACATTAAACTCCACAACTCTATCATGTCAATTTACATAGAAACCGGGAACCTTCATTGTGGAGGTAGAGGTGTCATTAAACTGTGAGCAATTCAGTCACTCTCCCATCAAACGCCACTGGTTCTATCTTGCTTTAAAGATACTATAGTTGGCTGAACTCAGTAACTGAGGGCTGCCTCAGAACTGAGTGATGCTTAATTACAAGGTACATTTGGCAGTTTTGTGGGGTGTTAGGAGACCTTGTTATTCTGGCAGCTCATCTGCCAACAGCTCTGGCGCACTCACACAGTCATTAGGAAACTCACTGTGAACTGCTCTGCCAGCTTTTTATTAGAGTAATTTGTTTGTCAAATAAAGATATGTGACTGGGGCATGGAAAAATATTACATTAATATGGAAAATAGGCAGAGAAAGTACATAGTACACCAAGGGATGCCTTTATCACCAGACGGCCTTTGAGCAGCTTACATATTGGCAGTTAGAGAGCTAGACAAAAATTGTAAGGGTTCAAATATGGCTTGGCCACAGAGCTTCAACCCACAGGCCTCTCACTCAGGCCCTCAATAACACTGTTCTTCATCTTTCATTCAGCCATCCCCTCCCAGGTTAGTCCAAAGAGTGTGTTTGGCATGATGACTACCCCTCTCTGTGGCTGGATGGGAGCGGGTGGTCCCTAATTGAGTGCAACTGTCTTCATTTCTCTCATAAGTTTTGCCAGAGGTATCACCTGTGCTGCTAAAGACATTGGGCAAACTCAAACTTTCATGTCCTCTGATGAAAGTAAGGAGCTTTTCCTTCCCTGGCATGGAAGTCTGCTTCTTTCCTAATGAGGGACCCTCAAAAGAGGAAACCCGTTCAGAACCACCCTCTGCATTAGCTGTTCCGACCGAAATGCCCTGTGCACTGCAACTAGGTCCTAATGCACAGGTAGCAAACTGCACAAAAAAAAAACCCAAATAGGGCAATATCCTGAGCATGTGGCAAACAGATCCAAACTATGACCCTTGAAGAGGCAACTGCAGGTAAAACTACAGGAGCACAAATGGGGAATGCAAGCAATCCTGCAACTCACCAGAATGTGACTGCAAAACAACTGGACTCCATTTCTGGCCCTGAAGTGCACTGACTAAAACTGGTGGCTTTTCCAACAGCCAGTCTGCCTGGAACCTGGAACAGCCTGGGAACACAGCATCTCTAAACCACATGAGGCTGCCAACAGCAACTATAAGGTAATCCTGCAGCACACAAAATAATACATGTGGGGTTTTTTCAAACCTCGCTATTAAAAACATCCTTGTAATGATGGCTCTGTCCTGACACTCAATACAGGCAACCCATGCTTCCCATCTCAGTGGCAACAACTCCCTCTGGGGAAGAGACACATCTTGCACTCAGAAGGGAACTGAACAGAGCTGCAGCAGAACAGGCACAAGCTGCTGCAGTGGTATCAGGCTTTGCCCACTGGCCTTTCAGTCAAGCAGTGAGGCTGCCTGTGATCTCCCTGAACACATTCAAAGGTTGAGTAGGAATTCTCCGTGCACCTCTCCACACCACTATTAATACTGCTGTAGGTAAGGTGAGTAAATGCATCCCATGTGATAGGTAAGAGAAGTGAGCAAATGCTTATATCGTGCACCCAAACATAGGCAAACATCACTTACTTGAACTTACTCACAAATCCCACTGCTGTGCACTGTCCTCTTGATACACAGCCACAGCAGACTCAGGTCAATGGGCTTGACCTGCAACAGCAGCTAGTTAAAAGCAGCAATACAATTAAAAGCTTCCATTATGTAGCATTATTGAAGGGGAGAAACTTACAGGCAAATTTAATTTGTCTTTAACTTCCAGGAGCTTGGACCTCTCACTTGGCCCTTTTGCCACCACCACAGTCAGGCAAAGCACTTCAGACCCCTCTGTCCTTGGCTTCTGTAGCACAAGATCAGTCCCTTTGTTAATACCATACTAAAGACCGTGCTTCTGACTGAAATGAATCCTCTTAGCTGCTCACACAAATGCATCTGACACTCCTTCCTGAAGGAACTGTGGAACACGGCATCTCGAAAGCTGCTATACAGAAAGCTAAGAAAATCAAAACACATTACAAAGGAACTTGGGCAGTCATGAGACAAGCAAGTATATTAGACACCGATGAATTCACCATGCTCCCTGAGCTATTTCTATGTGATTTATCTCAGTTTCTAGTTAATTTTTAATAGGCATTTCCCCTGTCCCTTGCCAAGCAGTTGGCATGTGCTCCAGCAACAAATATTGAGGCGGATGTAGTAAATGGAGTTTTTACTTGAAGTAAGAACTATCATTTAAAATCCTATTTCTCCTGCATCTGAAAATGGACAAACTCTTTTGCCTACTTCAAAGAATTGGAATCCAACATTCCTCCTTTCTCCACCACATCCTACTTTGTGCTACAGCTGTTTTAATTCCTATATAGGTACAACGTCAGTCCCGTCTCCTAAGCAGAGTGCTCGACAAGGCTACAACATAGATTCTTTAGGTAAACAACAGCTACCAGCATTCAAAATCCTTCATAAAGTGCAGTTGCACTGACACTAAACCAAAACAGCATCAGGACAAGACAAAGGGAGAGCTCTTGTGGCCTCACATTTCAGCACACTCCTGTTTTGCTGCAGAGCTTCCAGTCTAGCCCACACTGACACCAACCTGTCAAAAGCTCTTCAACAGACCTACCATCAATTGTATTAAGCCCTACACTTGAAATACTGGCACTCTCACCTGTAAAATGCAAAACCTCAAGCTGCCTCCTCTGGTTCCAGTCATTCCGACCCTTTGGGCTGTTGGAGAGGTTGTACTGCTCGCTACCAGTTCCAGCTGAAGGCTTTAACTCCCAGGCAAAGTGCAAAGGCTGTGCCTGCAGCCCCCACAGCTAATGGTGCTCCTGCACCAGCGGACCTGGTGCCGAGCCAGCATCACTCTGGATGGGCCCTAGACGTGCCATTTTCTCCTACCGTGAGCTGAGGTTTCCTGATAAACCAGGATGAGCACAGCCTGCATTAACCCAGCTGTGCTGCCCCGTGGGCACATGCTGGCCCTCTTGGGTGTCTCAGATGCACAGCATGATGGCAAGGGCATGGGCATCACAGCACCAGCACACCCTGCTGCTGTGTGGTTTCTGACTGCTGGCGGGACCCACTGCAGCTGCCACTGCCCCGGCTTCAGTGAGGGCTGGAGCCCCAGGTGTGAACAGATTCAAACCAAGTCACTACAACTAAAACTGGGAAAAGCCCCATTTGCCCCTGAGCCTTCACACTTGGGCAGTCCACAAAGAACAATCACCTGAACTTGTACAGCCCATCAAGCCTGCACTACCCACCCCACAGTGCCAAGGCAGCCCCAACAGCTGAGATATCCCAACAGGTACACTGCACCGGCAGAAGAGCAGCCACTGGTGTTGTTTCTATGCATAACCAAACCTTTGATTAAGCAGCAAGTAGCTAAGGCTGTGAATTCAGAACTTCAGAGTGTTTCTTTATCTTGCCCATGGGGGGTGTGTGTGTGTGTGCAACGCTTTGGAGTTGCATGTGCTCACCACAACACACCATGTGGGGATACAGCTTCCCACCCTCTGTACAGGTTGCTGCCTCTCAATCCCCTTCCTTTTCCTCTTCTTCCTCCTCACACACCTCTTGAAATTTCTTCAGCTGCTTTCTTCTTCTTCCCCCTCCAGCTTGTTCCGAGACCCCCAACTTTTCTCTATCTTTCAGCTCTGTATTGCTCCTGTGATCTTGAGCTCTTGATGAAAAACAGGCTATCAAAGCTTTTGTCCTCAGCTGCATACTTTTAAGCTTAGGCCTCCTGTCTACCAGGAAGATTCAACTGAGGTATAAAGCACTGCACCTGGCAGTGTTTGCCAGCTCCTGCCCAAACAAAAATAAAGTTTCTTTGCCTCAGGACCTGCTGAACCCAAACACTGTTTTCTCTGGCACAAGAGGCCAATTCACTCCTTGAGATAAATATTAAGCAAACAGGATTTTTTTTTTACTTTAGGAACTAAGCAGCTACAACTTTTTCCTGCAGCCACAGTCACGCCCCTTGTGCCTGCAACACTGAGCTATTTTTAAAAAATTCATTCCTGTGGTATTTTCCTAAAAGCCATAAAGCAGCAGGGCATTCTCTTAAACACACTTTACTATTATTACTCTGTCTATGCCTCCTGACTGACTATGACCTTCCAAATTCAGATAGATTAGCCATCTGTCAAAAGAAAAAAAAATAAATTATTCTCTTTGTACCCCTTCCTCTCTCACTTGTTTTCCCTGGGCAGCAGCTCCGACCTGGCAGGAAACCATCTTAGTTCCTGCCCTCTGACTCCATCACATGCCCTGAATGTCGCAGCTTGGACATTCTGCGTACTAAAAAAAGAAAAGAAAAACTTTTACCTTTTGCCAATGTTTCAAAAAGCAAAAACAGTGAGCCAAAACCCAAGCGAAGTACTGTTATCTATCCATGTAATAACAACACTCTCAACACCTGAAAAAATAAGATTAGTAGCTTAAATTCACCAAATTCACCAATATTCTGACAATCATACTGTTCCCTTCATCTCAGCAGATGATGGGTAAAATAAGTTTGTGACTTAGCTAGTAATTTTAAAAGAAGAATAAAGTCCATAGTAAATAATGATACAGACCCTTATCAGCTTGGGGACGTCTTGTTAAAATAGCAGGCAGAGACACAGAGCACTTAGCTGTTCTCTCTTCTCTGTACTTGCTCTCCGGTATAAAATACAGAACATTTTTTCCTAAGAATATGTAAATATAAACAAAGATTAAAATTAGGACAAATACCTCCTTCCCCTGATTTCATCGTCTGAACCCTCACTTAAGCAAGAAGCATCTATTTTCTATTCACACACACAATTTATTTCTGCTTGCCCATGGTCCATGCTAGGGGAGAACACTACCAAGAAATCAACCTTTCACTCCCAGCTCCCGACCCTATATTTCTGTTGTCCCATCCTTTTACACATTCCAGCCTTCTGGCCACCTCCTATTGGTGAAATCAGCTTTTTGCTGCCTGAGCCAAGAGAAGAGCCAGTGGCAATGTGCTCTTATGAAGGGGGATTGCCTCGTGCCACGTTCTCTACCTGCCAGAGCAAGTCTGCAGCCATCTGTCCTCTTTGCCCTAACCCGCACTGTTGCTGCTGCCCTCAGCAATGTGTTTGTGAGGCCACAAGATGTGCCAAGCTCCAGAGCAACCCCTCATGGCTCTGGTTTGCATCTTGTCACACTCCTTCTGCTACTGCAAACGCATCCTTAGGCAAAAGCCTCTTTCAAGTCAAAAGCTAACTTACTGACACACAGTGAGTCCAGCAACTGGCAATGGGGGATTTTGAAATTTAGGGTTTTTTCCCCGCATGTCAACACGCTCTTTTCCCTCTACTCAATGAGTCCATCTTCAAACTACTCTGTCCTGGAGTGGTGATGAACTTAAGATACTGTGAGGTGCGTGCAGGTCAGAGCTTCACCCATCGGTACAGCCCATCTGAGTCACCTTCCTCCTGGAGCTCAGCTACTGACTTCTGAGACAGCACAACTATGCCCAGTGTCACTGCTATGCCAGGAAAGGACACTCACGTGAATGCAGCGGACAGCAAAGTTATAATAAAGGTTTTAGCTCAAACAGAACTATGCTCTTTTTCGTCAGCTGATTTTCTCTCCCATGAATTCCAGCATCATTCATTTACTAAGAAATAATGTTCAATTCTCATGTATGTCAGAATCACAAAATTTACTTTGCTTCTTCCACATCAAACTTAAGGAAAAAAAAAGGTGATGGGTTGCGGAGCTCTCTAAAGCCAAAAATTAACAATTGCTGGATGAGAAAACAATAGAAAAAAGTTATCAACAACTTATACCTATTTCAGAATGCAAACAGGAAGGACTTCAACAAAAAAAGGGCAAAATTCTATGAGAAAAAAAGTAAGCTTTTTTTCCTCTAGTCAGTATCGCTTACAATAATTCCATTGGTTTACCTACATTTCTAGACTCTTTATTTGTTCTCAAGGACATTGGAAA